GTGATGTTTCTTACTAATTGGCCTCTCACAAATAAGACTGAAAGGTCTTTGGGAAATTAGCTCCATGCTTTCTGTGGGTCTTGTGCCACCTCCCAAAACGCAGCTCTGTACCTTGCAGCAGTGCTGGTTTTGAAAGGGAAAGATTTTGCTTCTTTCTGGTATAAAACTTTAAACACGGGGCAGCAGCTGAGACAGGTTAATGCTAAAACTAATGGGCTTTATGTAATCCTCCTAACTGAAATGTCAGCTCGCATTTCTCAACTGACCTACAAAAGCAGGAGATGTTTTTTCTTTCCATTAAATGGGCTCTTCTGGTTGCAATTTTTCTGCAGTATTTAAGGTTGATGTGAATGCTTCTCATGACACTGAAACTGGTAACAGTATTCCTAGGATTATTTGAATCCATTGCAGCATTTGCTGACCAGTTCTGAGAGCTCTGGCTGTGGAAATTGCTTTACCAAATTTACAAAATGTTCTCTCACTTTGGGCAGTAGGGGAAAACTGTATGCTATAATCCAGTATTTGTGACTGTCTCAGAGCAAGGCGTAATGAACTGATTCCCAAGGTTTTCCATTGCAGTGCTACGTCAGACTGCAGGATATCTTTTTGCTTTGACTTGGACTCTTAGTATGGACCCTCTATAGAAAACGTCTACTGGCTCATGCAGTCTTGGCCATCATTTTCAAATGGACACAGTTTATTTTTTTTGCTCTGGTTAGCCTCTAAATGAAGATGCTCTTTCTCGGTCAGTCTCCTATTATTGAGGAATTTATTTGCTTCCTTTAGAATACAAAGGAGTTGATGTGCTTCTCTCCCTGTTTATTCCGTTTTAGCAAAGCCTCAGGAAACACTTCGTAACAAATTTGACCACTTTTACTTTCTTAGTTTTTTATGCATGCTGCCACTTAATTTTTTCCTGGCAGGTAGTGTGCTAATCCAGCTGGGAGACTGGTATTTGAGTTGGCAGCTGGTCTCATGAGCAGGCTTTTCATGCAGTTGGACTTTCATGGAAAATTGATTTTGTAAACCTGCCATTATTCTGGGCAAAGTAAGGACACGAGCTCGGAGGGAGCATAAGCCCTCTACCCATCCTTAGGCCTTCTATAATCTTGAGGTTCTACCCCATTTATCATCTCTGCCGTGATACAAGCAAGTAGAACTGTATTTGCAACATTTCCTTATGCGTGGGTTTGGTGTGTTCTGAGTTAATACAAACAGCCACTGGGGATAGCTTCCATCTGAGCAGACAAAAGATTTATTCAGTGCAACTGGGTGGCTTGGCTAAAACTGGAGCAAAGTCTTAGTGCAGCCAGTGCTAGGGGACTCTTCCCATTTCATAAAGTGTTTTAATATCACCTTATTTTTGCAGTTAAAGAAAGATAGATGTGTCCTCGCCATCTCTGAGATGAACTGCCCTTAGGTTATCCTGTCAAGCAGAACAATGTGGTTTGCAATTGCTGCAGAAAAGAGCACACTGTTATCCCTCGGAGGCTCCTTGCTCCAGCTGGGGTGGGTGTTAGAATGCCATGGAGGTACTCTGCACTGAGTAAGGAATTCCACACCCCTCCCAGGGAGCTTCACAGAATGGAAAACTCACGGCATGGTCAAAAGGTTCCTTCTCTGGAAACATCGTTAGTTTCTGCAGCAGAATGTGAAGCACTGCATCTGTGCCTGGAAGACTGGATTCTCAGGTCTGTCGAGATAAGGAAAATTCCTTGCAGTAGAGCAAGGTTACCTCTTTGGTTTTCAGTGTTTGTTAGCTCTCCATTTGCAAAGTCTTCCCTTTATCCATGAAATAACATTGCTATTTGTTTGTTTTTTTTTCTGGTACAGATGCTCTTTCCTCCTACTAATGTCAAAACCAAACTCAGTTCTGTGGACTTGTAGCTGATTGGTTTTCTCAAGGCTGTTTGTTTTAAATTTACTTTTCCAATATGCTTTTCAATCTTTGAGTGTCATTTTCACCCTGAGTCCAAGTTTTCATAGTATGTCTAGAGCTTTTTCCTCTGTTCCCTTCCCTGTACTGCTTTTATATTGCAGTGCAGAAGTATCTCTTACAGAGTTTCTAAAGCACATCCTTTGGAAGTATGGCCAAAACTCCACATTTTACAGACAGCATGAGACTGTGGGAGTGGAGAGAGCTTGTCTAAAGGCAGTCATGAAAATAATCCATCACTCCTTTGATTTTCTTCCCACTAGTCTGTTCTGTTCCCATGTTTTGAGGAAGATGGGTTCATCCACAAATGGATTACAACTGATGAACATAGCCTATCAAAGGGCAACAACAGCAATACCCCCACAAGCCAGGGAAGTAATTCTTATTCCTTTACGGACACATGCTATTATCTGTACATCAAGAAAAAATTCTCCTTTGTTTCCATCTTGAAGTTCTATTCACTACCTGGCCAGGCCTGGGATGCTGAGCTCCTAACTGGGGTCAAGACCACATCTCTTTGGTAACACGGGGTCAGGCCAGCAGAGGCACTTCTGTGAGCTGCAGCTTCAGATTGACACTTGAGCAAAGTATTCCATTTCCTTTGCCAGCTGGAGCAAGCCCTTGTTTTCAGCTCTTTTGCTATTCAGCAGACCATGGATTTTTCTAGGAATATCAGCTGATTGCAAGGGGCTGCGTGATAGAAAGAAGGTGAATATCTGGGGACTGAAAGGGCATTCTCATTCTCCTCCTCCCTGGGGAGCGTTGCTTCCTGGTCCAGCAGATACAGCCCTTTCTAGCGTGTGACCTACTGAAAAAGTACAACTTCTAACTGCCATTCCCACAGGAACCATGCAGGAATTTCTTTTTCCGAGTTGTGAGATGAAGGGATAAATATTTAAGTTCTTTTTCAAATAAGAGCTATATGAGGATTTGCTAATTCTTTTCACATGGGCCACCAAGGAGCCAATATGTGGTAAATCACATTCAGCTGTGTGCATTCCCCCTCCCCTGCCTGTGGCCTGGGTTTGGACCTGTGCCCTGGAGATGAAACACTGCAGCTCTCAGTCCAAGTCACCAGACATGATAAGGTCCTTCTTTCTGTCTTCCCCACCCTGAGCTGTGTTGAAGCTCTCTGTTTAGCATGGGGGAAGCTGGTGGGAGCCGTTAGTGCATATTATTCAGCATTGGAACAATCACAGCAATTAAGATTGAAAAGAGTAAACTGAGACTGCGGTGCCTTAACAAGGGAAGTGTGGTGTGTTGTGCAAATTATCTGCTCCTTTATGTTCCCCAGGGTCTCTAGCTGACTGCTGAGGGTTTTGTGCAACATTTGTTCCCTTCTGACAGCCATTTAGAAATAACTTTTTCGTGTGATATTTATTGCATGCAGAGATCTCAAGTCATCCCTGACTGCATAGAAAATCCCAGCTCTCTAAAAATGATGTCTGGGTCCTTCTCACTGCTTCTGACAGCATGAAGATAAACCAAAGCCAGTTCTGCCCCTTGCCTTCCTCTCTTGTTCCCCATTACACCATATGGATTTCCTCAAACTGTAATGTGTTCCACTGCATTTAGACACTGTGCAGAAAATAAAGCCAGGAATGTTTTTTCTGACCAAATATAGTCAGGCTGACAGTTCTTGCTCGTAGTCCAAACCAAATATCCACATTTGAGGACCTGGGACTAGCAAAATTCAGGAGAACTCTGAAGTCACAACGGTGCTTTTCCGCTCTTGAATAAAAGCAGTCATTTCAGGGGTCAGGCTGCCTGATAAATCACAGGGAATATTTTCAGCTATTGGAAGAGCCAAAGGTAAAGCTTCAGTTTAGACTGCCCTTTGCATGGAGCAGCAGTGGATCCTAGGAAACATCTGAAAGAGGCTTCAGAAACGAGACTTTCAAGAATGTACTTCTATTAAAGTTCTAGCTCCTAACTTTAGGGGGACATCTGAACTGAGACATAGACCTTACAAAAAATTCTGCTTCCTTTACAGTGAGACAAAGGAAATTCTTCGGTCCCTCAGGGTACCTCGTGGTTGTGTGAGATTTCAGTCTGGGTTTTAATCCCCAGGTGTCCCAGTTGTGTTCAGAAGCAGTAAGGCACTAACTGGGTGCTTGAGAGACCTGGCTTCACATTCCAGCTCTGCAAGATTCCGTGCTTGAACTCAGGGAAGTCATCTTTCCTACAGTATGCTATGGTCTTAACTCATAAGATGCAGTATATAATAATAGCAGTATTATAATAATAATCTCCCCTCACTTCAAGGCAGATGTGAGGCAAAATACTCAGACACTCTGGTGAGAGGAGAGGGCATATGTAACAGAGCATAAGGTGAGATCTTTTTCAAACAGCACTGACTCTTGCTAACCTTATGGAAGGCAGAGGCACTCACTGCACGCTTCTGCAAGGGTCTGTCTGGGGTGCTGTAGCTGAGGTCCCCCAGATCAGTGTGATTCTGAAACATTTGTCTGTCTCGGCGTCATAACCCCTTGTTAGGTAGCTCCCAAGTACATAAGGAATTTGCAGGAGTCAACTGCCAAGTTCCATGGATGAGGGAGTTGATGGTTGCTTTTATCTGAGTTTGTAAACTCCCTGACCAAAATTTCCTGACTGCAGAAAGCATGCCTGCTCTTGCACAGCATCTCATTTTTCATTCTGCTGCTGAGGACAGCCTCTGACAAATGACAGCTCCTCTACCATGAAGCATCCCTGATCAGGCATTCCACGGGCGTGATGCTGGCTTCTGGATTCCTTTCTCTGCCCCCCTCCCCCAATTTTTTCATTACATAAAGCTGACAACTGCAGATTTGTCCTCTGTTGATTATACAGTCAGTTAAAGAGGAGAGTTCATGGCCATCCCAGCTTGTTTCACTTTGCTGCTTTTCCTCTGCCAGCCCAACTTTCAGCTGCAGTAATCTGATACGGTTTGGCAGAGGCCGAGAGAATCTTTGGCACATTGGAAAGCAGCTTAATGTAAAGTCTGCTTTCTTTTTTTTTTTCTTCCTCCCCCCCCCCTTTTTTTTTTTTTTTGAGAGAGAGCTTTTTGAAACCAGTGATTCTGCACAGCTTTGGCAGTGATTGCAGGACTCCTCAGAAATGCTCCAGATGCATCTGTGAGCAAAAGGATTACCAATGCATTCTGCGAAGGGAATGTCTGAGTGTCTGTCTCATCTCCTCTAGAAAGTGTTAAAGAACAACATGGATCAAATAGAACAACTTTCTGCTGACAGAAAGAAGAGCTTTCTCTCAGAGGACAATAAAAAGAGCAATGGCTATAGAACCATTGTGGGATTCCTATGCATATTCCCCGTGGTGGCTTTGCTGGCTATTGCAGGAGATCCAGCTGGAGCTGCAGTTCAGGAAAGTCAGGTAGGGAAAGGATCTGATTCTCAGGACAGCTTGGGAGGGGAGTGGGGATATCAAATATGTGTGCATGTGTTCCTTTTAGAAGAGTGGTAAATTCAGGAAGCAATCTAATCAATATGTAAGTAACTGTCAAGGCAACCAGATACGTTTATGTATATTTGAGGCTGTTTTTGCAAGGGATCCTAAGAGGTACTAATGCATCTAAGTAGAATTGGATGTGCACACAGCTTGCAGGCAACCAAGCTCCATCAGAGCTACAGCTATCCTGAGTACCTCTGCTTTCCCAGCTTGTGTGATGTGGCATGCATAGATTCTGCTTTCTGTGGCAGCTGAGATTCCTAGGAAGTCCATATGCTGGGCTCGTGGTGTAAGATCTAAACTGAGAGTTAATGCTGGACTTACAGAAACTGTCAGATGACTGTAGCTGTTCTTCGAGGTCTATTCGTTAAGGTATACTGGGACAGACTGGAATTCAGGTGGAACTGGGATGCTCAGAAGCTGATCTTAATGTTCACTTTATCTTCATTTTAGCTTTCAATTTTGTAAAAGGAAAATATTCTTTTTAATGCTTTCATCCCTTCCTGCCGTTTCTGTTTACGGTGATCCTGGCAAGTAGCATCCCTCACTTGTGTCACATATTCAGGGCTCTTATTAAGTTGGTTCTAAGTCACAAAGTTATGTTTCTGTTTAGTTTTGAAGGGGAACTGCATCAGAGAGAGAAAAATTTACATTTATTACAAGTCAATGAAATAAATCAATGGAGGCCTGATTGCACACGGTGAAGAATTCAGAAGAGGAATGCTGACTGTATCTGCCTGTGTGTGTTGGTGCTGTTGCAATTGCACAGCTCAGACGTGAGCAGAGGAGACTGGTTTCCTGTTGGAGTCTCCTGTTGGGATACAGTCCCTCAGCCCTCTACCAGTCAGGACTGCAGTCGTGGAGCACTTTGAGCAGCACCTGGCAGCTGTTGCTGCTTCTCCTTGCCATTGGTTTGCCATAGGCCAGGGATATGCTATTTTGCCTCTCAAAGCTTCAGCTGTTCCATGTGTGAAATGAAGACAACTTGCCTTCTGTAGAATGTGCTGTGAGGCTGAGCAAACTCAGACTGGTGTTGCTTTTGTAACACTGCCACTGTACATCCTGCTTCGTGCTTGCCATGGTGCCTCTGCAGCAAAGATGAGCCAGAGATGGTCAGTGTTTTATTGCTGAAAGGGGGAAGCACAACAGGTAAACTTCCAGAGATCCTTACTGGGTCCCGTTCTTTTACCTCTGCTACTCAGAACTAACAGGCTGGTATAGTTTGAGTCAGGCATGTCACCAAATGTGATGGCTTTAAACACGCTCCAGGGTTTCCAGAGCTCCAGTTTACTTTGAAGGCATTTCAGATTCACAGTCCAGCTCTATAAAGTGCTCTCAGCACAAAGAGTTGCCTGTTTGACGCATTTATTCAGTATTTCATTTCTTCTGTGGTTAAGCTGGAGAGCAATAGCAAAGTGAAAAGGAAATGAGAGCTTTTCAGGAAGAGCTGCAGCTCTCACTGTGGCCAGAAGCTGCCGAGGCCTCATTTCTGCTCTGCCTCTGCTGCACCCCAGGAGGAGCAAAGTGGCAGCAGTGCCCAATGCTGGAGTTATGCAACAGCTACAAGGAACCCACGGGCTGATCTCTGATCCAGCACTCAGGAATCGCACAGGAACTCCTCACAGTGCTGCCCTTCTTCTAGAGCTGTCTTCAATGCTCCGTCTCGATTTTGTTCAGCATGCTTAGAGCAGGCATGCTTTGCAAAGTCTTCTGTCCTGGACATCTCTGAGGGAGTACTGGTTGCACTTCCCAGCCTCCAAATGCCCCATATTGGTTGGTTTGACTGCTACACTCTTCAGTCCTGCACTCTCCCCCACCTTTTTCAACCTTTTCTTTTTCTTTCAAGGAAGATACCACATCACCTGGTCTCCGTGAAGTGAGTGCCTCTGCTTTGCACAGCCCAGCCTTTCCACCTCGGCCTCCAGCACGGAGAAAGCGATACACAATCACACCTGGCCACTTGAAATGGGACCACTTCAACCTGACCTACAAGTATGGACTTCTTTTGTTTTGCTGTGGGCATGGATAGCAACCGTGATATTGCCAATCCTTTTGTCAGTGACTGGATAGCTCCTAAAACCATTTTACAGTGACTGATAGTCTAATAAAGCCTAGAGAGCATCAAATGATGTCTGGGGCAGGGACAGCATTTCCCTGATCTTATTCTGTGTTATTACAGAATCCTGTCCTTCCCAAGAAACCTCATAAATGCCAGGGACACACGCAAGGGACTAGCAGCTGCGTTCCGAATGTGGAGTGAAGTTTCACCATTCAGCTTCAGAGAAGTGCCACGCCACGTACCCAGTGATCTGAAAATAGGTGAGGCTGCACGGCCTGCTGCTCTGCAGGACTGCTGTATGTGCTAGCTGGCTCCCTTCTGCTGTGTGGCTCAAGAACTGTCTTTTCTCCTCCTCTTCCTTTTGCTCTCCCCCATCACTGTACAGTAGTTACCTCCTGACTTTCTCAAGCCTAGAAATATGTTAGTGCTGAGGTCTTATCTGCTCAGTCTCAAATCCAGATGTAAATTCTTCCTGGGATTTATGGCCTGTGTGCAATAATTATTTCTTGTGCAGATGGCCACAATATTGAAATAACGAGCAGATTTTCCATTGTTTCGCAATTTGCTCCTCAGTCTGCTACTTTCAAGCACATGATGTGCCGTCAGGGGCCTGTCCTGCGGCCACTTGTGAGCTCCAGGTGGCCCCATTCCAGTGGCCGCAGTGTGTGCTGTGAAGCTGTTGTGATGCTAGCAGAAGGACAGCAAGCAGCTGCAATCCTGTGGCTCTCCATTTATTTGTGTTTAAAATTGAGTGATTGCATTCTGGGGTTATCATCTCACTGTCCAATGATTATGTTCTGAGGTTATCATCTCAGGGTCCAACTGCACTCAAAAAGCACCCCAAAGTTTCCTTGTGATGTTGCAAAAAGTGCTCAGTGTTTCTTTCTGCATAGTAGATCAGTTTGTGTGCATTGAAGACAGCTCTAAATCTGAGGTCCCTGCAGAGTTGACTCCAGTTTGCATCACAGCCCCTGTTCCATACAATTGCATTGCATTGATTTTTCCTGTTGTGTGTGTAACTTGGAAAACATGTGGGATACAGCAAGAGATGTGTTAGTAAACCACAAGTTTACAGATGTCTGTCCTGCCAGATAGACTAAATCTGCTTCCATTTTTTGCAGGCTTCTACTCTATCAATCACACAGACTGTCTGGAGTCTCTCATTCACCACTGCTTTGATGGAACAACAGGGGAACTTGCCCATGCCTTCTTCCCACCCAATGGGGAAATCCACTTTGATGACCACGAGTACTGGATATTAGGAAATACTCGGTTCAGCTGGAAGAAAGGTAAGACACATCTCAGGGGAAACAGTAATAATGCCAGCAGGATTTACATCTTAGTCCCACGTGCCAGTTCTACCTCTGGTTCTTTTTTCATGGCAGCGTAACTCCATTCTTTCACGTGGACATAGTTATGCAGTTGATTTGCATACAGTTCAGCCATCTCTATAAAACAGCAATACCGTCAAAAAATCTACCTTCAAAAGGCAGGGGAGTGTGAGGCTGACTATTGCTAATAATGACTGCTTCTCTTCCCAAAGCTGAACTAGCTCAGCAATTGGCTTAAAGAAATTTGGAAACAAAGTAGAATGAAAGTACTGTTCTTCCAAGTCACGTCAGTGAGGTTCAGCAGAAGTCTGTAGGAGCCAAAAAAAAATCCACCAAGGATTCCTATTTAATGTACTGATAAATTAAGCACGTATGCAAGCCACCCCCTTTAGATGCTTTCTTCCCATAAGCAGCTGGATTTAACGCAGGAATTGCACACTACTCCTATGGCCTACAGTTATGCAAGGTATCAGGGTAGGTGTCAGCAATAGCTTCTCTTGTGAGTCATCCTTCAGTTAAAACCCATCTCTGCTGGAAGCAGGCTTCAGGGTACTGCTGAGAAATGTCAGTTCAACCCTGTAAGCAGAAGTCAATCAGAGGCTTTTTCAGACTGGAGCATTCTAGCTAGCAATCTCACTCCCTGTCGTTTCCAGTCACAGCTCAGGGCTGTGGGAACAAAGCAGCAGAAAGCTGCCCAGAGTGGCTGGGGAATTTGCTCCATATTTCAATCTCTGGTCTTTTGGAGCAGTCTGCTTAGTCTGGCAAGAGCTGTTGTTTGGAATTAGAAGCATGGATAAATAATTTCTTGACTGTTTACACCCAAACATCTACAGGGAAGTTAAAACTGGCAACCTTTGATAAGACCACACCTTCCAAGTGCTAAAATTCTTCTGGCTTTACACTGGGATTAGCAAATGTATACTTCACTCCAGTTAGCTTTTTTCCATTTTTCTTCCAGGTGTTTGGCTTACAGATCTGGTACACGTAGCAGCTCACGAAATAGGACATGCCTTAGGACTCATGCACTCCCAAAACCCAAATGCTCTCATGCACATCAATGCTACTTTGACTGGGAAAAAGACCATCTCTCAAGATGAAGTCTGGGGAATTCACAGACTTTACGGTAAGGAAATGAGGGCTGTGCTCTGGGCTCCTCTTGATAAGGAACGTTTGCCTGAAGTGCCAATCCCGTGGAGCTCTTTGTTAGGTACTCAGCATTTGGTGAGATGAGAGCTTGAAGCCAGCGACCAGAATCAGGAGGAATCTTACTTTTTTTTAATGCAGGATATAAAGGTGCTCCTGCATGGAAGGAGCACAGTATCTAGCTCCCCATTCTCCTAGTAATTGCATCCTATTACACTCCCAGTCTTAGGTTCCTTCTCGTCTCTGCACTACCATTTATGTTGAACAATCTGATCTGGGTGAAATGTCAGTTTGTTTCTCCGAAGACTGACTCCTTCTGTTTCAGGATGCAAGGACAGATTGTTTATGTGCCCACTGTGGGCCCGAAAAGGTTTCTGTGAGAAACGTGAGAAGTTGATGAAAAAGCACTGTCCATTCACCTGTGACTTCTGCTACGGTACCCAACTTTTCTTCTGGGATGTTGGTGGGTCTTGCAAAAGGGAGGAGGTAAAGCTAAGCAGCCTTTGCTGCAGGGATAGGCAGGATCTTAACTCTACACTAGAGATCAGAGGCTGGCTGATCAAATGACTGGCTGCACCCAGTTCTAAGGAGAAGTGTAGTACAGGTATCTTCCTATACATCTCAGCCAAATCAAAGGCCTGGCAGTACAGCACCTGATGCAGGGATGGGACAAGAACTAGCCAAATGAAATCTCAGGCACAGATGGACTTGAGCTGCTTCGCAGAAAAGGAGGGATAAAGTATGTTAAACACCTTACATAGTCTCTCAGTTTTATGAATTCAGGTAAGGGACTGATGCATTATCACCTCAGATTACTACAGCTGTGGAATTCAGCTTCAGATAAATGCCTGCTGTCCTGACAAAGATGCACCATATAATTAGTACTTCCCTTTCCAGAATAGAGGTATTTCTACAAAAATGCAGGCAAGTAGCTACAAATACATGTATTGCAGGAGACTGTTCATAAACTGAACTTCTATTCCTCTATGCACATGAAGTGTGTTCATATGCAAATATAACAGTGTTAAATGTGCATTCCAGAACTGTTCAATTAGAGTCATTTTTTAATAAATAGCCTTAAGATTACTTAGATTATAACATAATCCTGTGAAAGTGTTTTGGGATGACTCAAGCTTGATAATGAGATACGCTAACTATTGCACTTTCTTTTTCTGGTGGATAGAATTCCCATTTCCAACAGTTCCTCCTACTCTGCCACCTCCAAGGACAAAAACCAAGACTGTTTCTGAAGGCAGGAATGTCACCTTCCGCTGTGGACAGAAGATCATCCATAAAAAAGGCAAAGTTTAGTAAGTGCTCTGTCATTCATTCCAGTCTTTTAGAACACTCTGCAGCATAAATACCTCAAAGGAGAAAGAATAAGGAAGTATGGCAAAACAAAGTACATACGAGTGCAGTTCAGCTTTTGGAACATGTGGCTGTCTTTGATTTGGCACTCTTGAGTAGAAGGAGGGATGGCAGACTAACTGTGGGAAGGGAATGTGCAAATACTGTTGATAGCACTGAGAAGCATTTATTTCAGAAGCAGATCTATCAGATGTAAGCCCAGCAGAAAAAAGATAAAATCTAATACACATACATAGCATAAGGATAATTCTTACCTCCGTGTCAAGGTCCTTGGGCTGTATGCTGCAAAAAAACTACTGTTTTAACTTTATTCATTCAATTCATAGTTAATTCTTAATGATGAGCATGTTACTTCTAGATGTATTTAAACTTGAGAGAAATATGTCCAAGTCCAGGGGTTAGTTTAGACTCAGGAATCAAATTCTTATTTGTTTTCAGTAAGATTCAGGATAGTACACCATGTTACAACTGCCACCATCTATGTGAAATCAACGAAAATGAGGTTAAATTTTACTGTGCAAGTCCATCCATGCTGCAGCGTGCCTACCTCAAGCACAGCTTAACAGCAAAGAGAAGGACAATACACATGCTGCATGTACTGAATATTTTAGTTTAATTTCTATTATTTTTCTTATGACAGCTGGTATAAAGATAAGGAGCTTCTGGAATACTCATATCCAGGTTACTTATCCTTAAATGAGGATCACATGAGCATCATTGCAAATGCAATTAATGAAGGAACTTACACTTGTATAGTAAAGAAAAAAGAAAGAATCTTGACCACTTATTCCTGGAGGATCAGACTGAGACATTAACAAGGGCTCTGGCATGAGAACTTCTCTATTTCAAATTCACAATCTGTCTTAAGCATTTTGTATTTAAACTCCAGTAGTGCAAATGAACTCCTAAATCAGCTGCTTCAATACCTTGAGCAAGAGAGACTCTGGGACTTTGTTACTGGATAAAAGAACTTTTCCAAATTAGTTTTAAAGGTAAAGAATTCATCAAGCATGTGTTGTACAGAAAATTAAAAAAGAAATTTAAAAAAAAAAAATCAAGTGTAAGATTTTGCAGTTAACCTGGATCAGTGGACTGCTGAAAAACGAGAACATAACCCTTCAGCAAACAAATGGATGAACAGACTGATGGCTCAGCTATGTTGCAATGGAATCAGAGGTATTGTGGAAAGAGAATGACCAGTAAATGCGCTGTAAGTGGTTTTTTATCTTTTTTATATCACGACATGTAGGTCTATAAGAACGTTAAAAAAAAATTACTTTTTCTTTTAGTGGGCAGAAGGAAGATATAGGGTCACAACAAACCCAAATTACTCCATTTCACACTTTGACATACTCAGTTCAGCCATGCACAGAGTATCTCCCTTCTACCCCCAACTACTTTCCTGTGGTGTGTATTTATTATTTGTGTAATCTTAGCCCAGCATACTATCTACTTCCATCTGCAGCTCCTCATAACTCATCCTTTTGGTGTCTGGTCAATAAGCTTCTTGACCCCTTCAGCAGAGGTAAGATCAATTCCATCATCACGCCCAGTCACTAACAGGTGAGGTGGATGTACCACATCCAAAAGAGAAACAGCATTTGTTTTCTAGGCAAAGCCCAGTGCACTCAAACCCTGACAGTCATTGTATTTAATGAGTACCTGATAGAAAGATCCTTATCCAGTATTAAGGCAGCCTACATCATTCTCTGCTTAGGTTCGTCCATTTTTAGTTGCTGTCTTAATCTCTTCAAACACGTTTCTTCCTACCTTAAGCATCTCATGTATTGCAGAATAGGTCAGCATTCTAGGAAGAGCTCTGTACCAGGACAGCAAAAGCACAATGGAAAAGTAAGAAACTAATAAGAACAGTTTGGTACAATTGCAATAACAGTAATTTTACTGGCAGATATCTAGCATGAACTCAGCACATCTCCATTTAACAGAGCAGTGCAACACCACATGGATCCAAGCATCTTAAAACAGCTCTGTCTTTGGGATCTGAAGAAACAAAATAAGAACAATGAGCTGATCAGCATAGCCCTCAACAGCTATCACAAGGGGATGTCAACACTTCAGCTGCAAGGATGTTTAAGTCCTTCATTTCACAACTTAACAGTTTTGTAAACATATCAGTTATGATTACTGACTTTTGTACAATTTCTACAAATCCTGTTTACCTCCACCTGCCCTGTGCTTCTGGCAGGCAGTGTCCATGCTGGAGTTACAGCTAAGGACCTGCTTTGCCACATGAATGTCCTATGAGAAGTCATCTTCCAAAACTGAGCTGACCTCAAGGCCAGGGGAAAAAGAAACCAAGGAAAAAAGTTGCAATTTAAGACACCAGGCCATGAGACAGCTCTGCATTGCACCCAGTGTTCCACTGACACAAATGGCATGGCCCAGCGCTCTGCTGTGCACATCTCTTCTGGCTGCAATTTCAAGGCTAACCCAACAACATCTTCAAGGAACTTCTGTAAGGAAGCCAACCAAAAAAATTAAGCTCTCTCCATCTCCTGCCCAGGACCACTGCATGACAGCTTCCATTTGCTGAAAATTAGTATGGAAACACCTGACAGATATGGTGATACCCTCAAGGTAAGCAACAAAACTCACTTTCTCTTGGAATACACTTTGATTTTATAAAAATAAAAATTGCAGTAAGCCAACAACAAAATAAATACCTAAGCTACAACAAGGCTGTGATTACCACACACTTATGCACTGGAACTTCCATGTTTTTTTTTTAAAGATTTATCTTTGCAGATTTTCCATGGTTGAAATCAGTTACTTAAGATGACACAATTTCAAAGTAATTGAATTCTATATTGCTGTTCCTGGTGAAACAGTCCTGAAAATGTTTTCACTTTTCTTGCCTTTGCATAACTTATTGTTTGATTAAAAGCAAATAATCCTATCAGAGTCAGAAGTCCAGATTTGTTAGCCCATGTTGGAACAAATGCTTTCCAACAGGCTATAATGCACCTGTTCCAGTAAATATCCATCATTAGTATTTCAGCTTTTTTGTCCACTTTCACTTCTCACATACTTCAGCACAAATAAATAAGCTTCTGCTCTTCACCCCTACCCAAACTTTGCTAAAACCATCTGTACTACAGTTAGTAAACTAGCAAAAAAACTGTTTCTCCATCAGTACAAGACAACCAGGCCTAATGAGAAAATAGTACTTCATTAACACGCACAAAAAAAAACAGCTTTGAAAATTTACAATTCTAGTAGTTCCAAAGAGCAGGACCAAGGCCTTCACTCAGTAAAAACAAAACCAGCACCACCAAAGCAAGTCTCTTACAATGTACTGGAATGCTCATCATGTATGCCTATTAATGGGACTGGTGCCCAGTTCTGACTGCATGAACACCCCAGTATTTTCCAAATCTTCCTGTCCCAGAAAAAGACGACAGCATTATAAATTAGAAACTCAGAAGACACTTATGAGGAAAGACTGGAATATGGCAATATACAACCAGTAAAATGAAATGTTGTTATTTTTATGGAAAAAGGACATTTTTAAAAGAAGGTTCTCTAGAAAATAAAGCTTCAATATTTTTTTTTTTGAATTATAAAACAATATAGTACACTTTTTGCTCCAGTGCCATTGTAAATACATTTATACAACACATCAAACCAGTAGTGCACTCAAAAACATCAGTGAGTGTTGAGCCCAACCCAGCTTAGCTCTCTCCAAGGTACACAACAGGAGAGAAACAGCTTAAACATTATGATTTCTTGACCAAGCAACTACACTCTGATACAAAGAACTTACTTTAAAAAAAAAAAAAAGAAAAGTTCTTTTGCTGGACTGACAGTAACTACAACAATATCAGCACAGACTGGGGGAGAAAAGAGAAATTAAAAAAAAAAAATCCTCACGTTTCCACTCTAGAAGACTTAGTGCCACCAACATCCACATTTGCTGCATGTGAGGAAATGACATCCTTCACGCTGTTAAACAATTAAAAACGTATTTTAATTCTACAAATTTACAAGGAGAAAACAACAAGAACAAAAAAAAAAAAAAAGGAAAAAAAGGGATCAAGGATTGTACTTCAAGTTTTCCTTTATCAAATTTTATAACGATCCTTGGCTTTTCCTGTTAATTCCAGTCCTTTAATGGAATGCAGCAGTTATACTCCACACCCAGCAAAAGTCTTTGAATCTGGGATGACATCTGACTTTACCCCGGTGAAAACCATCTAGTTTCCCTGATGTGAAGAACAGAACTGGGGCACTCAGAAATCCACTCACGTGAACGGTTCTCTTTTTTCCCTCTTCTCACTGAATTTAAAACTTGAGGCTGAATCCAGGCCCAGCAGCAGATGCTCCTTGGTTCGTGGTGGTCAGATGAAAACCGGTGTCTTTCAGATCATCATCGCCCTGTGGAAAACATACACAGTTCATTTATCAGTGTCTATGCACACACATTCACCTCTGCAACACAAAAATGAGGCCTAACACTAATTTAAAAAAACAGAAACAAAGAACAAAACAAAACCTGAAGGAGCTGTAGGAGATGGTAAGTAAATACTTGAGTTAGTGGCATTGTAGCTAAGTTCAATGCAGACTGTTATTCATGCTCTTTCTGTTGGTATTACAGTAGGCACAATGGCTGTGCAGTGTCATTTCACCTATGCTGAGACATGGAACTGTTAATAAAGAGCTGATAATAATTAAGGCACTTAAGATTGTACCATGTCCTACTTATAAGGAGCTGTTTTTCGGCCAGCTTTTTCTTCAAAACTGGCAGTCCAATTTCCACACACTGAAAGAACACCAGCCTTGTATTTCACAGATTCTTTTCTAAACACTGGAAAAGGAGCAGGTTTTGTTTTGTTTTAGGACAGTGGAAGTCAGTGATGCTCACCAACTGACTGTACCCAAGGCCTCCCTCGGGTGGGCGGGGGCTGGTGCCACGTTTCACCCTTTGTTGTTCACTTTTGGCTGGCCATGTAGGAAACATGGAGGGGTCAATAGGAAGGGGAGTCTCACGGAAATACTCATGCTTCAAACCATCTTCAGCAGTAATTCTTCTGGCTGGGTAGTACGTCAAAAAGCTGAAAAGAATTTAGGCAGACAATGAATTAGAGGGAAGATAAGAGAGACGACTGGCAGAAAGAAGAAAAACGTTAGCCTAAAAGATATAAAATCTTCAGAAATAACTCATTTTTTACAAGTGTAACAAATAACAAAATTTCCCAAGGACTGCAGAAGCTAGCACTTACTTGTTCATGAGATCAAAGCCCTGATCAGAGAGGAGTGCTCCAAATCTCTTGCGTAGATTGTTATAGGGATATTCTGTGAACGTCATCTTCTTTACTGCTGGCAGCTCATTGTAACCAGGCCAGATTTTTTCACTTGGAGTACCCAGATCCTATAGATTAAAATAATAATAATTAATAAACTCATTCTAGAGTGTAGCCCTTCTGCTTATTCATTATTTAGCTACAGGGATAAAAATCCATAGAAAACAGATGAAATACAAAACATTATTTTAGCCTATCACTGATACTGTAAAACAGAAAATCAAAGTAGTGAGCCTTTTATTAAGGCTGAATCTCTATCAAAGAGTAACAAGCATTTCTATTTTCTTACTGCTCTAATTTAACTGCCTCTAAAACCAGCCAGTTAGAATGGAAAAGTTTTATAAATGTTACCTTAAAAACTTTGTTAATCTGATCAATTTCTGACTTCCCTGGAAACAGTGGCTTCTGAGTTAAGAGTTCTCCAAAGATACACCCTACGGACCACATGTCTATCGCTGTTGAATATTCCTGCAAAGAAAGAATATACCTTATAAAACCAGTGAAATAATTTAATAAGGTATTTTAGTGATAGTGCAATGTTTTGGGGTTTTTTTGTGTGGTTCTTGGCAATGGAGCACTCCAGAGCCCCAGTGATTTCAGTAACAGAACAGGTAACCAGAAGGGAACTTTGCCAGAACGTTCACAGTCCTTTGTTCTGCTCTTTTTGTCAGAAATTTTAGACCACAACAAAGAAATCTAGCTGCTTAATGACAGTGACAGTTCCCACCAATCCTCGAGAAGTCCAGCAGCAATCTGAAGGAGAACAGCTCAGCCTGTCACCCGCCCATCCATCCTCTAAGGAAGACGAAACCTTTTTAGCTTTGTTATTGGGAAAAATAAAATTGAAGTTTCAGAATTTCCACTCCTAAATCAGTAGGATAAAGAATCAAGCACACTTATACTCTGTTCATGAATTATAAGATGAGGTTAGTCTGAAAAGTCAATCCTTTAGCTCCCAGAAGAATAAAGAGAGGCATACCTTGGCTCCAAGCAACAACTCCGGAGCCCTGTACCAAAGTGTCACCACCACTGGTGTGTAAGGCTTCAGTGGAGATCCATATTCTCGGGCCAATCCAAAATCTCCAACCTGGATGAAAATGAGTTATCAGTAACGTTATCAGCATTGACCATACCAATGGACAGCACCAGTACATACTGGCCATTCTGGCTACTGCATGGCCTCTGGCATTCAAAAAACAGCCACACGGATGTTGATACAGACAAGGTTAATGGCACTGTCATGCATCAGTAGGAAAAGAACACCGCTCTGACTTCCAATTGTGCCATAAGGAATTCAGCACTCACATACCATGCTTATTAGTCACATTCTAGTATAAATCTTAATAGCTGTGGCAAGGCAGTCTCTATCTATTACAAAGTTCAAAGTTCACTGCTTTACAACCGTATGTTTTAGGAACTACACTTCATACACTTACAGGTTAACGCAGAACATTCTGCCCAGCTCTTAACATCACTATCATGCAGTGTAACTCTGCAACACTAAATTTCTCATAAGTGTGTTGTATTTCATAGAGTTCTTACCTTTAAAATGCCTGAATGACTGAGCAGCAGGTTGGAAGTTTTCAAGTCCCGGTGAAGTATCCAGTTGTCATGAAGATGCTTGACTCCTCGTAGTAACTGAATCATCAAGGTTTTCACTTCACCTGAAGTGATTTAAAAAAGCCAAATACTTTTAAAATAAGAAATTTGTCTTCAGCTGTTGTTTTTTCTAATTAGAGAACAAGACGGAGTTGGGGGGGAGGGGGAAGAATGAGATGTCAAGTTAAAAACATACTAAAGAGTACAGTGTAAAAATGTGTCACAGAAAAAAAAACAGATCCAAAGAGCTGCCAGTATAGTAAAATGAATCTGGATAGCTGGAATGCACCCAAATAATGCTCAGAAATTAATGCTTCTCAACATAGGAACTGGCCAAAAATAAAACGCAGTGCTCACAGGGAAAACTCCCCTCTCCATTTCACATCTGAACCTCACTTTCATCCTGAGCATGCCAGCTGGATTCATCAGCCTATCATCACTGTACGTACCAGCACTGCCAGCTGACCTTCCTCTCTTAACCCCTATCAGTAGAATCAAATTGGACAGTGAGAAAGCAGTAGTCTCTATTCCAAAGAACACTCAGAGGACATTCCAAGGCAATACACGTCATCATCCAAGCTAGTCTGCTGATGTCAGTACAGCCCAAAGGGAATGGGGTCTTTCTAGGTCAGTTTTCCATTTTAGACAAGTAGAGGAGACTGTGGCAAACAGTACCTGGTAGAAATGGTTGCTTCATTGTTTCCATCAGACTCTTGAGATCATGTTCTACGTAGTTCATAACAATATAGATTTTATCCATATTACTACCTACAACGATTTCCTAAAACACAAAAACAAGTGATCAAAACACAGCTTATTTTTGCAAAACATCCAATTTTGTAGACACAAACACCGCCTATTTATTTTATGGGTGGTATACTAACAAGCTCTGCTAGGAATGCTAATGTTTTTACAAGACATTTTAAAAGCCAAGAGGCAACATTTCAAGAACAAAAATCTTTGGAAATGAAAGGTTGCTGGTCTTACTCTGACAGTGACGATATTCAGGTGTTGTGCTTTCAGAATAGTATTTATTTCTCTGAGAGAAGTGATGGGGAAGCCTTCCTTTTCCTTCTCCATCTTCAGTCGCTTCAGAGCCACGATTTCATCTGCAAGGAAAAGAGAACTATTAGCTGCAGACTCCCTAGCACACAGCTAATAAAATACATGTCAAGAGGTCTCCCAGTGTACTTTTACTATTTTAATGTATTTGAATGAAAACCATTACTTGAGACATCAGCAGAATCAGCCTGCATTAACAGAGTGAAAACCAAAGCAAACCAAAAAAAGATTGCCAAATTTAAGGAAAGATAAGAAAACCCGCAATAACAATTCAAAAGCTGCATCAGGGGTTTTAGTGTATCCTGACATAACTCACCTGGAAAGACACTACAGATAAAGCTTATTCGACACCAATTTTCCCCCCTTAGTTTGGGAGATGGGATGGAAACATTTCACATACAGTTCACCCTTCCTTAAAGACCCAACTGAAAACCAAAGTGCTACTCAAAATGTTACCCAAGCAAATTATTTCAATACATCTGCTTCTGCATGTTAATATAATGGCCATATCAGCCTCAGGGCGGGCCTCAAGGAAGATGAAGAAGAGAAAAAGGAGCTGATGGCAGCTATCCAGTAAATGAGTGATGTCAGAAAAACCACCCCAGAGGAGATCAAAAGGTCACATAATTCTAAAACAAACAGAAACAGAGACAACCAGAATTTAACCCCACTGCCAACATCACAGCTTGTCAGCTAGACCTGAGAATAACCATTACTGCTGTCTAAGTCTGCTCTGGAACACAGTTCTTGTCACAAGCTCTCTTCGCCATCTGCCACCTCTATTTAAAATTGCAGATATTTAATTTACTGTGCCTCCACTCTCTGTCACAGCAACCAGCTTGCTGGACAGTAACATATCACTAGTGATGGCAACACTGAGGGGGAAACTGAGGTCACAGCCAAAAGAACAGATTGTATCTCACATTATTTTTTTCCAAGGGAACAGGAAAGCTGCATTAATGTCACCATTTCTGCTACATCATCCAACCAAGTATTTCTTCCACTTGAGCATGGACACACAAGAGACCTGGTGTTGGCTCCTGCACTCTTCCTAGGAAATGCAGTCACTTCCACAGACATGTATCATTACAGACCAGATAAGAAGAATTTTGAGTTTTAAAAATATAAATCCACTTGTATATGAAATTTCTTCCACAGCAACATAGTGCTGTATACCCTCATGGCACACAAACACTGCTTTTATGAATTCTCTCACCAGTGGCTGTGCTTAGAGGGGCACCTAGTGGCACACACTTCAAACCAACCAACCAATCCACAGCAAATCACAAACCAGAAATAATTGCCTAATGGACCAGCAACTGAAATCAAGTTAAGCAGTTCTACAGTGTCATGACCAATAGAGAAATTAATTCTGAACTCAAATAGCTGCAAGCAAAACGCTTATGTCAAAATCCATATCCTATTAAAAAGCATACATTATTCCTGAAAAGAAACAAAGCATTTCAGAGATTTTGTTCATTAATGTGAGATGCAGAACCACAGTTTGCATACAACTGCAGATCTGAATCTATACACATGACAGAACTGGCTAGAAGAAAAATTATTACAGTTTTCCCCTTTCTTAAGGCAGAAGGCTGATCCAGAACAGACATCAGTTTTGTGCTTAAAATGCAATCTGTGTGACAAGAAACCCAAGCTGTACTTCTCACTCTACCCCAGATCTCCTGCATTTCCTGTAAAGTTACGAAGTTTGCTGGAATTTATAAAGCAACAGAATAGTCTGCAGAAATGCACAACACCTCAGATGCATGCATGCCACATGCATGCATGCCACCTGAGCCTTCAAAACAGCAAAATAATTAGGGCAGTGCAGAGGGCTGATTCCACAGTTTCCAGAACATGCAAATAAAGTAAGTTTTCCAAATCACAGCTTCCAAAATTCATACCAATCCCCATGAGTGACAATAGCTGTCACAGTAACATACATCCTGAGTGAAACATTTCTCACACTAGATGACACTTATGACATAATACTTAGTTAATACCATGCAGATAATACAAACCAGTCTTTTTGTCTTTTGCTCTGTACACCACACCATATGTTCCCTCTTCAATCCTGTTCAAACACTGAAACTCCTCCACACTACGACACCCCTGAGAAAACAGAGAGAGAAAATTCACTCCTCACATGTTTGCAGGAGCACTACAATCATTTGTTTAACAAGACGTAAGAAAAACCTAAGCAATTTCACAGGAACAGTTACAATTAACCAAGAGAAGTATATATTTCACACACAAGTGTGTACTTTGCAATAATGAATCAACAAGACACATTCAGCCCATCAACTCATGCATAAATGCTACTGCGAACACGTTTCCCATTTTAATGAAACCCATTCGCATGTAACATTTCCAAGCATCCTTTCAGTGATCCCCTACCTGAAGTGCAGGAAGATATTTAGGAAGCTCCTGTTTCAGTTCAATAGGGGAAGAAGCAGGTGAGTCAGGAACATAGTCTCCTTCTGTCATCGCGTTGGACTGAGGGCTGCCCTCTCCCACCTCCTCTTCCTCAATCTCACTGCCCGCTGAATCGCGATCAAACCTCGACTCTGTAACTTTAAAAGTCAGAATCAGACATGGAAAGAGGGAGTCCTTTGGAACAGAGTTAAGTTCAGCATTGGACAATGAGATAGAAGATATGCAACTTAAAGACCAATAAAAAGAAGCCTAATTTCTCCTCTTTGTGGAGATGATAACCCCAGGTTACTGTCAGGCATGTATAATTTTCAGATGAACACAGCATGTCAGAAAAATAAGTCTTTACACTAAGAGAATGAAAAAAAAAGTGACCTAGTATGTCTCCTTCTAATTGTAAAGCTTTTTTGGCAATGCCCAAAGTAAGAAAGAAGGAAATATTTCCTCGTTAGACTGGGATCTCATTCCTACATATAGACCCTGAAACAGAGTTCTGATTTTGACATAACGGCTCTAAGCTGTGAAACGCACAGTGCCTTAGAATGATGGCAAAACTGCACCAACAAAGAGATTTTAAACAGATCTGAAACACTTTCAGAACTAGATCTGACTGCAAAAATAGAGTCAATTGATATATTCAGTATTTGCATTGTACCAACTGGGATGTGGTTTCCATTCTCTCGTTCTTCCTCTTCACTCATTTCTTCTTCGCTCACCTCTTCTGCAAGACAGAATCAAGTTCAGCTGAATCAACTCAACCCTTCTGTAGTTCCTTGCAACACAGACCACTGTCCAAACACCTTCCTCATTCATCATGCCTTTTACACCACTGTTTAGTTTAGTGACATCACATTTGCTGTATCATTTGGAAAACAAAAGCTTCTTCAAACTCAACAGTACTGGTTGGGAGACTACTGAATGTGTGCCTGATCATTCTGCTTCATTTTAAAGAAATACACCCAGCCAGAGCAGCCTGTTGTGACTTTTTCTTCACTAAATAATTATAGGAATGGCTCTCAGATTTTTTAACTAACCCTTTTTCAAAAGTATTATTATGTTCAAATATTTGTAACGAGCGTGATAAAAAAAATCTGGTATTTGCAACTGAAACTATTCAAAATAGCAGAGATATTTGTATTTCACCACCCCCACGCAGAGTGTTCTCTACAGAGTACTTGTTACTGTGCAACACAGAAATATTTAAACTGTTAGTGTTACACTACTTACGAAGACAAACAGGGCTTTCAGTTTTCTAATCCGGCGTCTTAGACAAATAATTGGTATTACCTCTATATAAAAGGATAGAATATGACTTGTACTTGTTTTTTTCTTTTTAGTTATCTTGACCTGTGAGGTCTCAGCCTATCCTAGACTAGGAAAAAAGGAAAACATTCAAATAAAACAACACAGAATGAGAAACAAAGAAAAGCCAGAAGACCCCACCGGCCCACACTGGGACCTGTGTTTTGTTACTCACCAGCTGATTGCTCTGACACCTCCTCAGAATTGCTCCCTGTCTCCTCCTCCTCCTCCTCCTCTTCTTCTCCCTCTTCCTCAGATCCTTCACTGCTCGACTCTTCTTCCTCTTCTTCTGAGCCCGACCCAGACTCTGCTGAGGAACAGTAACACATAGTATGAGATATGCTATCTAATAACTGTTTCCTCAACAGACATCTGTACAATGAGTATCTGCTACACTGCATTTAATTACCTGATGAAGACTCAGCTGAGCTTGTTTTCCTCTCACTGTCACTGATGTCTTGCAAGTCTGAAAGAGGGTCTCTTTCTTCTGGTTTCTCTTCTTTCACTGTTGAGACCATAAGAATCAAAACCAAGGTGCCAACTGAATTTCATTTCTATTTTTAAGCCTGATTGCCCAGATATCTTCATTCTCTAGCTACTAAATTGGTGCTGAATGTTCATATACATATATACACTCTGAGCAACCAAAACATTTCACAGCCTGCTCAAAAGCCAAACAGTTTCCCTGCAACGGTACCAGATCAACAGCCAAAAACGTGCAATGCTGACTTTTTAATTTCAAATATGACATGTGCCCACACCTCTCTACAAGAAATGTATTAAAAAAGACAAGTGTAACATGATAACAAACATGACCACAACACAGAGTCCCACTAATGTACACTCACACAGCGCTTGCAATCAGTGTTTCTACTGCAGTCCATCATTGTGAAACAGCATATGCAAATAAATGTTGATTGATCAGACCATAAGGTCAAAGGATCACTGCCTGCCTCTGCCTGGAATCTCAGCTGATTGCACTGTGCATTACCTCAAGGGGTTACAACAATTTTCACAGCTACAAACATTAACAAAGCAGACACAGAGCTTTTCTTCTTTAACCAATGACATTTTTATGCCAATTGCACGGGCTCTCCACCCACAGTTGGGACCTTCTCTGCATGGAAAGGACCATTTTCTATCTTAGAAAACAAAAGTCACCATCTAATTGGAACACTGCCTTAAGCACTGCTTTTCTTCTACAATACAACAATTAGTAACATTTAAACTACATAGTTCCTTGTAAGGTGGCCTTTTAAGGTAGCTTATTTCCTAAGAACAAAGCCAACTGGAGTTAGTACAAACAATCCCTTTTCAATCTGCAAAGAAATAAAACCAGCATTGCTTTAGTAACAGTGCATGTGCCACCCCTCTCAACAATTCCAGAATTATGCCACCACGGCTGAAGCAGACAATACTTTCAATATGGTTCCAGGGATGTAAATGTTTAATACTAAAAATTAAACTCTACCCCAGAACAGCTCTAGCCCCCAGGCAAAGACACTGAGGTGGCAAATGCTACCTGGTTTCCTGCTATCTGCTTGCTCAGGCTTGTCTCTCTGCTGTCGTAATGGGCTGCGACTCCAGGGTCTCATTTTCACTTTGTCTCCATATTCTTCCCTCACTGTTCTATGGTGTGCAGAAACTAGTGAAAACAAAACCAAAACAAAAATTGTTAAATGTCCCTGCCCTAATTAGAATACTTCAGTCTACCACAACCACCTGCTCTGCATATTTTTTCCTTTGTCCTTACAGAACAAATGGTAATGGGGAGGGGTGAAAGCAGAACCTAACTGCATCTAGGAGAGCAAAGAACTGTGATTTCCCTCATAGCAATGCTATGTGGGTTTGGACCAAACAGAGAAAGGTGCTGCCATACTTAGCAAGCAGATGCAAGATGCCCCCTGTGCTACACACAGCATACAACCCAAACCTACAGTGTTAAGGCAAGAGAGAAGTGGACAAACCAGGGAGATGCATGAAGAAGTAAAAACAGCTAAGGGTTAGAAGAAGCTGACAGAACATTCAGAGCAATAGAGAGCTAAAACGGAAGGCTAGATTAATTGAGACCAAAACCAGTGTAAATATCAAGCACAAAAATGAGCTGTTCAGCATAACTAGAACTAGAAAGAACAGCAATAAATAGAACGTCTTCTGCTACTCTTGAGCAATCTTTGTAATTGAGCACAGATGCTGGGTCTGATTTTTACCTCTGACAGCCGGGACAAACAGAGGTACTTTAGACAACAATGATCTGAACCCAGATGGCAAGCGATCAGCCTCATCCACAGCTGGAATACTTACACCATCTATCCCCAGCCCCATGCCATTTATTTCCCAGAACTTTAATATGCTTGCGTTGAGACTTCAGTCTCTACCAGATTGGGTTAGATTCAACCAAGGAGTCCAGAAGCAACTGCAATCATGACACACACACGCACACACATACAAAGACTACAGCAATGACACAGATCTTGTTTCTGAAGGAAGTCAGGCAAACAAAGACTTACCGACTAGCCCAGAAGCCAGCACACTCCTGGCATCCGACCCTGCGTAGAACTACTTCAAAGATTTCTTTCCCAGATAGACATCCCACCCTATTTTATTATTTTTATTTTTTTAAGTTCTGGCATTGACCTAAGTGAAAAAGCTTTCTCTACTCCCATTCTACCACCATAGCAGACAGCAAATCCAAACAGCATTTAAACACCAATAATCACCTTCTCTTCTGGCTTCCCGTTCCTTACGCCTTTCTTCAGCTCTCCTTTCACGCTCTTTTTGCTCCCTTTGTTCTTTCTGCTGCTCTCTGATTTTTCTCTCTCGTTCTCTCTCAAGTTGCTCCAGGCGATCTCTAGAAAATAATTGGTTATCTTCTGTTACGTTGCAGTTCAGTGCAAATTAAACTTACAAAGTAAAAGAGAACTGTTTTTCTGTAGCCAAGAACAGGGCCATTCAATTTCATTGCCAAGAACGATGTACCTCTCCCTCCTGGAATGCTCCCTCGCCATTTCTCTCCGTTTCTGCCTTTCCCACTCACGTCGGGCTTTATCCTGCTCTTCTCTATGCCTCTTCCTACGCTCATGTTCCCGTTCTTTCTCCTTCACTCTGGCATGCTTCCCTGAACAGGCAAAAATGAATTTTGGAGTTACCATTCATAATATTCTGCACTCCTATTTTTAAAAAAGTAGAAAGGACAACACCTATGACAGCATATTCCTATGCTCTCCATTCTTTCCTTGATGGAAACATCCTGATCTGAAAGGGCATTAAACAAGTAACTGTAAGAGCTCACACAAACGTTTGTATTAAGTCAGAAAGAAGACTGTAAGTAACAGGAAGACAAAGTGGATGTTTCTAGACTTTGTGCTCCCTTAGTTACATGGAAATGGTATTTGTTCTTTTCCAATCAGCTACAAATACCACAGCTCGTCTCCGTGACACTGTGAGGCCGCAGTGAAGCATCACAGAGTTCCAAGAGTAAAAGCAGACTCTGTGTCCCTGTCCCAGAGTAGCTGCTGTCCTCTCAAGTACAGACATGCATCTATCACTCTTAAAAGGGCACTAGACTCAATTAAAGAGAAAAAAAAGAAAGCAAATTTCACTTATTTTATCATATCCATCTGATATGTTTTCTCTGGTCTGCAATTCTTATTTCCTCTCTATATAGTGCCCATTCAGTGCAACTTTGGGAAGCTATCAGAAGTGTGAACAAGGTGTAACACCACCTTCTGCTGAATGACTGCGGTGTCTCCGTTTCTCTTTCCTCTTCTCATCTTTTCTATGATGGGTTTTTTCTTTCCGTGACATTTGCTGTGGTGGTTTTATAGCCAATGAATCATCTTCTTCTCCTCTACAATAAAGACATAAACTGATAAGCTCAGGGACGTTAAACACACCGGCCTCTTCTCCCAGGCAACAAACAGAACCCAAGGAAACAGCCGCAAGTTGAACCAGAGGAGGTTTAGGTTAGACATAAGGAAAAACTTTTTCTCTCAGAGAGTAGTCAGGCACTGGAATGGCTGCACAGGGAGGTGGTGGAGTCACCGTCCCTGGCAGTGTTCAAGAGGCATCTGGATGAGGAGCTAGGAGGTATGGTTTAGTGCTTGTGGTAGCAATGGTAGTGGGAAAATGGTTGGACTGGATGATCTTACAGGTTGGAAACTGTTTCCAACCTTGTGATTCTATGATTTAACAGACTGAATGCTACTTTCTCTTTTATCCCTTTTGAAAAAAAAAAAACCAACACTCATTTTCCTATTTTCCACAATACCCCTGAACTAAAGCTTAAGGCTATGTTACAAAGATCACCGAGTCGTGCTTTAGCAGTACCTTAACCAAAATATTACGTTACTGTGGAGTGGCCAAAACTGGCACAGAATGCACTGCTATGCCTGAACCAACAGCTGCCCAGCACCTGGCACAGCCAGGAGGGAACATCAAACACCTCAGAAAGTTCTGCTTTCCCCTGTAGTGCTTCAGAACACTCAGCTCAGGGTTTTTAACCCCTGAGGTGCACTCAGGGAGCATCACACCGTGAGCAATACCTGTCCTCCATGGAGTCCTCCCTGCGGTACGGCGAATTGCGGATCGTGATCTCCATGCGGTGATCTCTCAGCTCCCCCTCTTCAAGAGAATCCCGCTTTGAATCCCTATCATCCGACTGGGACAGGAACACACAAAAGGCAGGCAGGTAAACCAAACCAGGCTCGTTCAGGCACAGCAGCACTGAGCAGCGCCGCCCCAGCCGGGCACTCACGTTTTTCATGCGCTTTATCTCTGCTTTCTCCTCTTGCTCCTTCCTGCGTTTCTTTTCCTGAAGGATTTCATCCAAGGTTTTCACTTTCCAAGAATCCTTTTCATCACCCATTGGAGTTCCAAAAACCATTTAAAAAAAAAAAAAAAAAAGAAAAAAAGCAGCTCTGGAAAAAAAAAAAAAAAAAAAAAAAAAAAAAAAAAAAAAAAACAAACAAACAAAAAAAAGAGACGTTACGGAAACGCGGCGCTTCCTGCTCCAATCAACGCGCCGCAACAACTCCTTCCCCGCGAACGGATCGCGAACGGATCGCGCACGCAGCGCCCCGCCCGGCCCCGCCTCAACCAGACGCCCGCAGCCCCGCACCGCCGCCCGGCCCCGGCCTCCCCCCGCCCCGCACCGCGCCCTGCCGGCCCGCTCACCGCCGTCGCGACCGGACACCGACGGGCAGCGCCGCACGCAGCGTCACTTCCGCCGCCGGCTGATGACGTCACGCGCACAGCGCCGCGGGGCGGAGCCGAGCCGTTGCCGGCAGTCGCCGTGCGGATCCGCGCCCCGTTGCCGGCAGCGCGGCGGTCCTACGGCCCGGCCTTAGCGGTGCATAGAACAGCGACAGCCACAGCGAGCCGTTTTGTTATTTTGTCAGCCAGTGCTGCCGGCTGGACGTGAGAAGCAAAGCTCCGAAGTGAAGTTTGCTCAGCGCTGAGCCCCACAGGGCTGCGTGTCAAACCTGTAGTTATCGCAATTATTAGCAGTGTTAATGAGGTATTCAGGCACTGTGTGATGTGCCGGGGCAGAGCTGCACGTCCGTCCAACAAAGCAGTGCGTTGTGACTGTGGGTGCCTCCCACTACGTGGATAGTGTCTTGTTCCTGGAAAGGTGAAGTTTGCACTGTTTCCAATGAGGGATGAGAATTAGAGAGCTGGTTTTGAAGTTTCACAAACTCAGGGCTTGCTTCTTAACCCAGGCAGCCCCGAAGTGCTGTGCAAAGCAGGCTGCTCCTTTTGGATGATGGGTGGGATTTATAGGCTCTCATACAGGTGCTTCTGGAGAGGAATTTTCCAGGACTTCCAATGCAAAAAGCATTTAAAGGGCAGACAGCTCAGGCATAAGGCTGCAAGGAATGCTCAGCATGGAACAGAGTGGTCCTTGTTGGTTCCATAGGAGGAAATGCTAAGAACAGCTGGAACAAGAGCCTAGTCTGGTAAAAACAGAAACCAAAGAGCCTGCACTGAGAAGCACACAAGGAAAGCACAGTGCAAACAACCCCAGCACAACTAAGCTGTCACGCTGCCACAACAGGTGGGCTCCAGCTGCTGCTAATAACCACAGGCAGGAGTTACAGTTCCAAAGTCCTTCCCAGCTGTGTGGCTCCACAGATGTTCTCCATTAATAGGAAATGCAAAGTCTGCCAGCTTCCAAAGGCAAAGCTGTGGTGGTGGAGGGCACTGCATGAAGGCTGTTAGACAAGCAGAAAGCCACTTACATCTCTGCCCTCCCACAAGAGTAAAAACGTGCTGCAAAACAATGTTTTCTGCCAAATGCACAGATTCTTGAAAAGCATAAAGAAAAACCTGAAAGACAGATCTCCATTTCACAGACCACTTTTTTTTTTTTTTTTTTTTTTTACAAGCAATATGAGCAGTGACAACGCACCAAAAAAAAAAACAAAAACAAAAACAACCAAAAAACCCACACAACAGAACAGACATCACACAATGATGAAAAATGGACATTTCCCTTCTGCTCAAAGCAAATATCCACAGCCAGGGGTAAACCTGAAGTACTGCCAGGCAACACCAGGCAGCTGCTGCTCAAACTGAACCTGAGGCCAGGCTCCCCCACACAGCCTGCCCTGGGGACACGTTTGCCTTCCACAGGAATTCATGCTAATGGAATACCTCACATAGGAAGCGTGAGCAGGAGCTGAAATGTCCTAAGAACTCCCCATGCAACTTCCTATTAGAAATTGTATTTTACCCTAAAGAACACTTAAATGCAGGCTTTTAACACCAAGCTACACTCTTTCAAAACAGGAAATTATTAAAAATCAGCTCATTTTGTTAATTTTGTTATCAAAAAGCCCACGTGATGGGTTCTGTAGATACATGTGCTCTACTTGCAAAAACGAATGAATAAAATTTCAGGTTTCCTTAAAGGGAAGGCAAGAAGTTGGCTTTTAACCTCCGTCAGCCATGAAATGTAACTTCTCCAAAAAAGGAAGAATTCTCAGATTAGCCTCAGCTCATGGTCCCCTTCCAGCTTTGTCAGATACCCCCAACATTCCTTACATAACTGGAAATGTCAGAAATACTTTGTACATAGGGTAATAACCCTGAGTTTCTGAAAGGCAGTATTTTTGTTGCAGTCCTACAAACAATGCTACAAAATAAAAGCTCACTTCCTCGTTAAAAAACACATAACAAAATGCAGGAAATTCAGATATTAAAATGGTTTCTGATAGAAATACAGATATCCTGACTTATCACACCAAAATCACAGATTTTGGTGATAATCTGCAAGCAACTGCAAATATGTACTTCAGCACTGTTTACACAGTGCAACTGTCTGTGCATTTGCATTTCAATACTGTAAATACATAACCAGGATGAAATATTTCCCTTTTGAGTTTCAGAAAAAAAAAAAAAAGACTATCTACTGCTAGTTTTGTAGTTGGAAATAGTGGCTCATTGTGCTTTGAGACATGCACTCATGTCTGTAGTTTACTTCAACGAGGGCTTTACCAAAATAAGCCATTTGCTGAGACATGAGCTGGGGGAAGGGAGGGGTTCCTTCTTCCAGCTCTGCAACACAAACAGATAATGGAGGATGCACCATACAGTAACTAACACTTTGAAATTTCATTCCACTGCAAGAAAGCCAAATACAGTGACGGGCCAAAGTTTTCACATTTTTTTCTTGGGCAAGGAGGAAGTAGTAATTTTCCTACAAGACACCAAAGTTCTTTCTCTAATATAGGCTTGTGTGGTTTTTTCGCAGTCACGAGATCAAAAAGCCCACGTTCACCACATTAAATAACACCAGGCCCTCTGCTGTTTCAGTTTCTCTGAAAATCAAGGCTTCCTGGGTTCTCGTCATCATTCTCTCTCTGCTTCAAGTCCCAGGCCTGACTTGCTGTGAAACTCAAAGGAACCACATCAGCGTCAACAGTTGCAGAAACAATCACTTCTGGGAAGAGTCCCTTTGAGTTGCACTATGTTGTAAGAATAAGTGGCCGTATCAATCATATGGTTTCAAATCCTTGGCAATCAGTGGCTCAGTATCTTCAGCTGTACTTGGTGCAGGCTGTGGGGCTGCAGCTGCCAGGCTGTGTATGGTTTCCTGCTGATGCTGCTTTGCCTTGTTATAAAGCAGAACTCCCACCGTCACTAGAACAGTCCCAATGGCTGAGAGGCTTGTGATTTTGTTACCAAACACAATAATACTTAGCCAGATTGACAGTGCGTGCTTCACAGTACTGGCAACACTGGAAAGGAATTTCAGAAGTTAAGGCTAAAGAAAGCTCTCCCGTATCCTACACACAATCATGTCTTCATTTAGGGGGATCTCTCTTTTGCTTGCTTTTTAAATACCAATCAGGTTCCACTTTTCCTAGTTCAGCCAATCCTGTAGCCACACTGCTTGTATATTGGTACTAATATCTTCAAAGACATTTTAATTTAGACTTAGTAAGTCACCTCAGAGTTTGGTTTCTTTGTTATTTTTAAGCATGCAGAACAGCATTAGCAATTCATTTTTATCTAAAACAGACACTCAGACAATATCAACAGAACACCACCAACATAACTGCCATTTCTGGGTGTGTTGTTACTGTTCATGTTATATAGTATTCATCACTGCACCAGAATTGTGCAGAAGCCTAACGAAGCTGCCCATAACTGACAACAAAAGAGGAGCCATCTTCAAAAGACACAAGTATTACAGAAAGAGTAGCTCGTCATGCTGGTGTCATGCCTCAGAAACAGTTGTACAGAGCTGACTGATCGTTTTCTGTACTGCAATTAGCTATATATAGGTTATTATCACCTAAACACCTTATTATCACCAAAGCAAATGTCAGCACCTGTTCCACAGCTTCAACAGCACGTGCCAAATGCTGCTTTTCTCACACTACGAGCAAGTACTCCAAAAGCTTTTCATGATGTGGATGTGAAAAAATTAGTTCTAACATTTCATACGTCTGTGCATTTACTTATTTCTTTGCACAGTGCCCTTACTACTTAGTTTCTAAGCAGAAATATTGCATAAGAAAAAAAAACACATAAGTGTTCCTGACACAGAAATAAAGTTTTACCTGAAAGTCACAGGAGAAATTTTTCCCATCAGAGCATAGGCTGTAACACTTTGCAGGTGGAACAAGACTCCATCTATTAAGAGAAGTACAACTACATCTTGGTTGTAGCTAAAACTCCTTCCACTTTTCCCAATCACTGGAACATCCTAAATGCAAAACAGAGGCTCTTAAGAGTTTAGCTCATAACCAAGTCTAAAAACCAACCTAGCCATTATTATCATAACCAGGTATTAGTTTTACATTTAAATATCAGCATAACAAGATCTGAAACATACAGGACATCCATGTCCTCCAAATTTTCCCCCCAAAAGATGAAGAAACTCTCTTTTATCTGACTGCATTCAGACTGCCAGTGAGATCTTTTCAAACACTGCATGGCAATGAAATGTCAGAATGCACATTAGACTTACTTCAGCTCAATTTTGCTTTCAGAGTTTGTACTCCAGCATGCCACATGAATATTGGCAAAAAGTCAGCAAATTCTTAAGATTTGTTGTTCAAGTCTTTAACTAAAATTTTAAATGCATTTATGTAGGCAGACAAAATAATTTCTCTCTAAAACTCGGAAATAAACTCAGGCTTTCTGGGTCAGCTGCCATCTCACATCTCTGCTAAACTATTGCTTTTAGTGTTTCTCCAGCTTGTGCAAACAAAAGATAAAGCTCTGGTGATGAAGTGATTCAAGTAAAATGGGGCGAATTAAAAGCAAAGCTCACAAGTAAAACATAAATTTGCATTAGCAAATTCAAATTACCATGAAAAATATCCAAGCTGGAATAAGCATAACCACTGCAGCAGCACTTGTATAGAACTGAAGCTCTGGGGCCCTACAAAAAGACAAACAAAAATGGTTAAGAGTTCCTTATTTCACAGGGCTGAAGAAAGCTGCATCAGATTTACATAAAAACCTCATCACAGTATTGATAGACATCAAGAAGTGCTAACAAAAAGCCATCTACCAAGCTTTGCAGACAGCAAACTCAGCAATCTCTTGCATTGTGTTCTGCGTTTGCCAAGACAAACGGCAGATAAAAGGCCAAAGTTTTCAAGACCCAAACCAGCTGTAAAATCCTGCAGTAAAATTCACATTTACTGAGCTGATGAAGTTCACAGCAGCTTAGTCCAATATAATCACAAATGCATGGTTTTCTTATGCAGCCTAAGGTCAATCCATAACCCAACCTGAAATGTTTGAAATACTTACGAAAATCTGTATTTATCTCCACTGAGTAATTTTTTGGAAAAGACATTCTGCAAACTGGTAAAGAAATAAAAACACAATGTTTACGAAAACTCACAGCAAAAAGAAAGACAAATCCACAATCACTTGACTTAGTTTATTGTGTATGGAAATATCGAAATAAAAAACTTTTTATTTTCCTAGTTCCAAAGGCAGAAATAACTACAGGCAATGATTTTATTCAATCTATCAAGAAACATAACTCCTTTATTCCACACACAGAACAGCTGCTATGACTTACCAGTCCATTATATTAGTAGATAAAGCTGCCGAGAAACCTAGAATGTTGAAACTGATTTCAGTAGCTGTACACAGAGCTAGCCCACCCATAACTGGAATGAGAGAGAGATTAACCAGCAATCCTGCAAATGAAAAGAAACAACAAATGTACGAGTTCAATCACTATACTCCTAATGCCGTACATGAGATAATAGAGCTTTAAGTTTTAGTTTCACCACAACTTCTTTATTTTGAAGGAAAAATAATTTGATCAGATTTACTGTTCTACCAGAATGACTTTTCCAGCTGCTTGAAACTGTCTGCCATACTTCAGTGACATCCGCCTGCCCACAGCCCAACAAGTGACAGTATTACACAAAACAAATATTTTTAAAAGGAAATTTAAACACTGAAGTACTCACCAGTGTATTCCCCTAATATCATCCGAGACATGATAACAGTAAAAATAGGTGCGGAACTTTTAACTGTCTCTGCAAATGAAACTGCCACATTTTTCAAGCTGACGAGCCCTAGGACCACTGTTGCAAATCTGAAATTGAAAAACACAAGTTAAACAGAAGATAAAACACAGCTTTAACAGCTGCACTCTATGAAAGCAAGAAAGAGAAGGAAGAGAGCATAAAAACAGTGCTTCAGACCAGAAAAATGCAATGAGCCAATAGGATAGAACTCTAATTAAAGGTTTACCTCATCAGTCCAACAAACAGCATTATCATGATGAAATTGGGTGGGTAAGAGATGCGTGTTTTGTGCTGGTACAAGCAGCATGGAACAAACATTTTTATACAGCCAATAAAGGTGGTTGAAAGCATTTGAACAGCACCTAAAGAGATGGGAAAAAACATCAGGTGATGATGGGAACACCACATATTAAGCAGCATGAGAGAATTTTGTAAACAAACTGGTCTGTAGTGACGCTAGACTTGATGAATTTTCACAACAGCTCTTTACTTTTACAGCTACCAGCAAGGCAGCAGAATAAATCAAATAGCTCAGTCCACAGATAAAATGCTTTTTTGTTTTCTTATTAAAACAAATAAGGAAAAATAAGCCCAGTGAATAGCAGATGTCACAGAGGGCAGCTTCTGCATTTTTACATAAAAACTGTTAATCAAACAAGTTAATCAGCACTAGAGACTATCAACAAATGACTCAATTTTATTATATTTTTCAAGAGCCCACACTGCCCTTTGGCACAGAAAAGTGAACATTTAATTACATTTTTTGTTCTCAAAACACTCTTACAGCTCCTGTCCTTCACCATGTGGATAGATGAGAGGAGGGAAGGGCAGGCTGTGATCACACACACAGGTTCTCAGCCCCAAGATCCACCCCCACATCTCCTAACTCGGTCCTTCTGAGAAAGCAAATTGTTCAGCTGAAGGGAACTTTACATGCAAGGATCTGATATAATCAAATATTTTACTGGAATTGAAGCATAAAAGAAAAGCAGGGTTACCTAGCATGCTGGGCTCTCCTTCCAGTAAGGAAAGGATGTATTTGTTAAGAAAAAGAGTGCAAAAGCTGAAGAAAAACCACAAAGTGAGGTAGATGAGAGCATGAGAGTTCCAGATGCCCAAGTCTGACTCAATGACCGTAGTCTCTGTGATAGTTATTTTCAGAACGTTCTCTTCTGGCACGCTATCACTCCTAGCAATTACAAATTTTTCACTCCTGTTAGCAAAGAGCGAACCCAAATTAAATAGTGATTTTCCCTTTGGCTTTTCTTCAAGGAGAGGAGGATTAGGTTCCTCCGGCGTCTCAGCACTTGTCACAGTCGACATACTGACAGAACAAAACTGTCTGTCCTTAACACAAAGCAACACTGACTTCGTAGGGAACAGTACGTGGAGGGAAGAAAAATATCATGTGATTAATCTTTCATATCCAGTGGTCTTCAAAAGTGTATTTGGTCCTCCAAATAACATCCTGTATGAAAATCAACTTTAGATGCCTCTTCATGTGTTCTATTCCATTCTTTTTCTACCTAAGAATGAAAAAAAAAAAGAAAGAAAACCAAATATAGCAGTGCACATCAATCCCTAATACTACAAAAATATCACATTCATTCTGAAAGATAAAAAAGACCTCACTACCCTCTCTTTCAGAATGTATTTTGTACTGCTAACATGCCAATGACCTTTACTTTTCTCAAGTTAAACAATCTTTGGCATCATAATGCTAACAATGTCCAAAGAAAGAAAGAGAACCTGAGAAGCTTAACTGCATTATTAAAACATATGACCAGAATTAAGTGCTTTCTATTTTGCAGACTGTGTTTTATGAGCAAAAGCAATCAGAATTAATCAGATGATTATAAAATGATGAGTCATCTTTTGCTCCTAGATAAAGAAGCAGTAGAAGAAATGAGTGCTGACAAATCTAAAAGCACATTTGCTGGATAGGCAGTATGGAAGGCCTTACATGGTTAAAAAGCAATTACTGGGGGAAGCTGATCACTGGACAGCTTAGTAAGGCTCTCTGAAATAAGACTGTAATACCACAGTGAATCAAAGAATGGCAGTACAGGAAATAATTAACGGCAAGCAAAAATAGCAGGGTTCTAACAAGAGCTAATGCACCTGCCCTGATTCTGCTAACATATGAATAGCATCCGTTATTTTCTTCATGATTTTGCAATGTTTGATACAAAGATGTTCAAAGAGTTAAATACATTGTGTCATTCATTGCCATATCCTACTGTACACTGAAGTTTTCCATTCCTAGTGTACGCTATTTCTCTTATTACAGCCACACAGGGAACATTTCCACCCCATCACCTTGTCCCTTTCCATTTTAGCAGGAAATCATGCCAGTGTGACATTGAGGTACAACACTTCTGCACATTTGTGCTCAACCATATATTCACATTTACCCCACATAAAACAAAACCAGCCCACATTAAAAAATACGCTCTTAGTGGATTTGTTCCAACAACCTGATCCTTGATTTCTCCTCTTTCAAGCTTTCACGAGAAACAAACAACACAAAAATTACTATACATTCAAAACGGTTAATTACCAAAACTTTGCTATTATTTTTTTCTATTTACATTGATGAATTAAAAACAAAAACAATTAAGCCCAACAAAATCCCCACGTTGGGCAGCACCGGGGTGCACATTATCATATTTAACATCACCAATTCCACTAGTGGTAAGAAGCAGAACAGCAATAAGAAGAAAACCACACCTCTGAATTACTGACCTGCTGTCTTACATCAGCTGGAAAGCTTTAAATTGGCTGAAAGAACTCTCCATCTGGAAGTAATTCAATCCTCCTCCCATAAGAGCAACCAGCAGCTGATGTTTACCAATAGATGAAAACGTGGCAGTAGCTGGTAGACTGTTTCTGTTGGATTACACACAACATGGAATCTTCCAGCTCACAAGAATGAACAGCATGCAGTGCATTTTAAACTCTTCCTTCTATCTTCTCTCATTTTAAACTACATTGCCAATGAGAAAAAAAAAAAAAAGTGTTATGCTAAAGGTGAAAAAATTGGGAGCATAAACTTTGACAGTATCAAATTTTGACTGACGAGTAGCAACTAATTGTTTAATACAGCCCAAGTCTTCCCTTCGAACTGAAAGACTAAAATTGTTTAAAGATAACACAGTGACAAGGAAAAATGCAGTAATGCGAGGAAATATAACCTAATGAGAAGAAATATCACCTTTTTCTTTTTTTAAAGTTACACGTACCATGCCTGGACACAATTTATTGCGAACATAAAAGATAACATTTCCAGCACCAGAGATGCTGGCGTGGCACACAGCCACGTGTTTGGATGCAGAACTCCTCGGCAGTGCACTGACCTCAGTGCAGGTACCTGTTAGTCAGAAGCTCTCGCTGTGCTGTCAGCAGTGGAGCACATTCTGCCCATCGCTTTTACACGTCACCCAGCAGCCCCTGATAGCGTTCGTTGGACGGGCAGAGCTCGGGGCTTCAGCATGACCAGCATCTGGCAGAAAGACAAGGCGTTAGGAAGGAGGGGTGGGAAGAACCGCGGCTTTGTCTGTGCATAAAGATGGATGTCTTCTTTTGGTGGTAGCCACAAAAAACGCGAGCAGCTAGAAGAGGTCACTTGTGAAACCGAGCTTAGCCGGGCAATGAAGAGAGGCCGGGATGCAGACACGCCCACGTGCCCTCGGCAGCTCAGCATCCGAGCGAGCAGCCAATGTTATTTCACTGAACGACAACAAAGCACAAAGACGCGTACAGACCGCAAACACCATCTCAGAGCTTCTAACGTCTCCCGCACGAAGAAAAACGCTCAAAAATAGCCGAACGTTTTCCCGCACGCCAGCGGCACTCCGCCCGCCCCTCGCGACCCCCGCGGCCGCCCCTCGCAGGCAGCAGCAGCAGCCGCCGCCGCCGCCTCCCGCTTCCCTCCCGCCCGCCCTTATCCCGGAGGGCTCGGAACGAAAGGGAAGGAGGCTGCGCTGACAGCCGGCCGGCCAGCAGCGCTCCGCCCGCCGTACCGAGCCGCCCTCCCGCGTGCGGCACAGCCCGGGCGGCCGCCGCCCAAAGCTGCGGGCGGGAGCGGGCCGAGGGACGGCCCCGCATAGAGCCCGGCACCCAGCCGTGCCCAGCCGCCCCGCGCCGTGCGGGAAGTGACGTCCCGCCGCCCCGGAAGGGCGGGCGCTGCCCGGCGCGGCTGAGCCGCCGCAGCCATGTAGCTGCCGTTAGCGGAGGGCGGCGCGGCCGGGATGGAGCCCGCCGAGGAGAGGTAGCGGTGCGGCTACGGGTGCGGAGCGGTGCGGCTGTGCTTGCGCCCCGCCGTGACGCCGCCTTGTTTCTCTCTCCCTACAGCGGCCCCGCGCTGCCCAACCTCACCCCGCGGCACCGGGAGCTCGTCCCCACGCCCTGCGGCCCCGTGAGTAGCCGGGCGGTCCCTCGCGGTCAGGCCCTTCCCGCAGGAGAAGCGCATCCCGCTCAGCCTGCGGTCGCGGTGTTAATTACAGTCATTTGGCAGCTACCGAGGCCCCAGGGGTACCCGTGGTTTCTTCGCGTGTGCTTTCGCTGGAGCTCATTCCTTGGCTGCTTTTCATACCTGCTGCCGTGTGTTTATGGCTGCAGAGCAAGCCCGGTACTAAACAAGCACTGCCCCCAAATGACTGAACGCCAGCCTCGCTCCAAAGCAAGCAGCACTTTCTCGATTACTTTTAGTTACTTGGTTTTGCTTAAATTAAGCCGTGTTTTCAATGCAGTGCATGGAAAGACTTTGTGTATAAGGATGTTTTGTACAGCAGCATTGTGACTAATGTAAGACGGTAGCTCAGTAACAGTGCCATAGCTGACCTCTGCCTCCAGGTGACTCTCCAGGGCCATGTGTCACTGCCAAGGGAAATCCAAGCTGTTCTGAGCGTGGTGCCATTCACCAGCAGTTCATCTCTCTCCGGGATGCACAGGCTGCACAGAAAAAAACATCTCATTCAAATCTTTTGTCTGCTTTCAAGTGTGACTGTTTCTCTATGATCTTCTAAAAGTAAAAATCTTAGCAGCGTGGGTCCCCAGGAGGTTACTTGCTGAACATTACTGCTTTGATAGGCTTATATCTGGGTGTTGCCAGATTTGATTCTAGGAGATGAAATTAGAGTGCTGCGAGAAAAGCAGAATACAGTTTGCAGGGATGAACCCGAAAAATCGAGGCTGAGATCACTTATCAGAGGAAGTTGGAGTTTTCCCTCCCTCAGCACTTTTGCAGTTTCAGTTCTATTGTAAAATGTTTCTCTTCCCTTTTCCCAGGGAAACCCTGGTTGTCCATCAGCTCATTTTTTTTAATGCATTTCTTAGGGACAGCAAACAGGTCAAACAGCATTACAAGTTTAAAAATTCTCTTCCTTTACAGATCAAGCCTTGTTCAGAGCTGTCATTTCCTGTGAAGATCTACTTCTGCGTGACTATTTTGTCTCTGCTCAGTGTTATAGGGCTGACCATAGAGACACTCGTTCGACAGACTGAGGAAGATTTCACCATTTCTCTTATACAGTTAGTTGGAGTTGGTAAGAAACATACCCACCGTGCTTTAAAACAAAGCAGTGCCAAAGTAGTGACTGAGGAATGCAATGAGCACAGAGGTTTAGGTCACAAACAGACCACTAGAAAGCTATTTCCAAGAGGTTTGATTTAATTTGTTAAACCTTTACTTTTTGAAAACTTTTTATTTGTCTCAGAAATGTTCCTGTGCCATCTCTGCAAACAGTGGTCAGGAAAATGTTTGTTTCCAAACTATTTGTACAGACTTCTGTTTTAGCAGCTGAACTTATAAAACAAGGAAATACTGTCTGACATCTTTCAGGTCTTCCTGAGGTCACAAGCACACAAAAAACCAAATCACGTGATTCATTCTTTGATTTGCTGACCATTTTTTTCATCTCAGTTACTTTAATAATAGCACAAAAGGAAGTAAACTTACCTTAAAGTTTGTTTAGAGCAACTGAAGTTATTATGTTACTTTGAAAACATTTATGACCCACGTCCCACGCTAACAGAGCTGCATTATCTGATCTGATGTGCTGAGTCCAGGAAGTACAACTCTGGGAAAACAGAAAAAAACTGTTACTTTGTCTATGGTAAGAGTGAGCTAATGTTTGCAGGAGTGACCTAGATAGGAACAGCCTGTGTTTGTGCAAGGAAAGCCTCTTCCTTATGTGTGTGGTCGTTGCAGAATAGAATACTAAGGTATGTAGCTTGTTGTATTCCATAAAAACATCACCTCAGAACTCTCCTGAATCAGTTCCTTTCTGGACTATAGTTTGGTGTTTTAAACCACGTGCAGTGGGCCAGAGCCATGAAAACAATCCTGTGGAGGTATGTGTGTGAGCAGTACCTTCCTTACTGGTCACTGGAATTACTGTCACTGGAAGGATTATGTAATTTCAGTTCTTTAATAAAATAATGTTACTTAATTTCATTTGAATATACTGTTCAACAGTATAGTTCTAAACCAATAAAAGATACCACAGCTGCTGGTTAGTTTGGATAGTTGCTATTTTCAAATCATTAATTCAGAAGTGATTTAAAAGCCCAATGAATTATTTCATTTTTTGTATGGTACACACAGGAGAGAGTACTCAGCATCTGAACAATCGGATGCAGGCTCCTTGGTAAGAATGAAGATATGCTTTTGATTAAGGATTCTAAGTTGCACAATCTTGATACTTCCACTTTGTCATCTGGATCAAGTGTACTGAAAAATAGCACCACGTGCACTCTGTGCTCACTTGCTAACTGACTTTTCCTTCTCCTTCCCAGTGTTCTGTGTGTACTATGTCACTAGAGGAATCCTGCAGGAGAACCGCCAGGAGCTCATTGTCTTTGTTCTTTCCATCCTGCTAGTGATGTTTCGATCCATTATCAATTTCACAGTTCTCCCTGCTGAGCAAAAGCCAAAACTCCTGGTTAGTCCCCTGGTTTTAATTAACTTTGCTTTACTCTAAATCTTGGATGTAAAAATCTTAGAAAGGCAAGGCACTTATGGTAAGGGCACTGAAAACAGAAAATCAGGCCAAATTATTCCTACCACCAAATAACAAATTGCACATCTCCACAATGACAAATCTGTTCCTCTGTACAGTTCTATGGGTTTCTTTATGCAAGTACCTGAAAGTAACATCAATATCAAATAATATTACTTACACAGAATTACTGCAGAATGTGTTGCCATCAGTTTACCTACCCTGCATCAGATTTTCACCCATAAAATAACTGGCCCAAAGTCACACAAATGGAACTGGAACGTCAGGTCTGTATGCAAGGACGCAGTCACTAGCAACTCATAACATCCACAAATGCAACACTGTGTTTTTAAGAGCAATAACCTGCTGCAAGGAAACAAAAAGATAGTGTTAAGGCAGGTACTGCCCATCCAGATTATTTGTTTATCTTCCATAACAAAATGTAAAGAAGGAACGTACTGTGTTACTAACTTTAGTAGTTCAACTTTCCCCTGCCGTGCTTCTCTAGAAGTCCTTCCCTTTCATGTTTGCATACTTATCACAAATGTGAGGAGATTCCTTCTTCCCTGTAGTCATCTAAAAAATATTTTTTGATGGAAGAGATTACAGTCAAGATAGGGAGATTACAGCAACGCAGAATTTTCCTCTTCAACTGCTGATCAATTATACAATTAGTTAAATGTCCACAGCAAACAGAGTTGACAGTCAATAAGGAACAGGCATTAGAGATGCAAATTACACTGAGGTATGTGTCCTAGCTTTCACTTTATATATTAAGCAAGAATAAACAAGTAAACAAGCAAAATCCGGTCTACAAGATGCACTGTTAAGGAGGTTTTAGTACTATAAAAGTAACTGATTACTGTATCTCTTCTTCCTGAACACAATTTCTGAGCCAGAATAATGCTTACTAGTTTAAACATCTTCATATCAATATAACTATGAAGGACATTTTACACTTCAGCTGTCTTGAGTGTTAAGGGTAACGTAGGCCAAAATAACTAATGTGAATTTACACTTACTACCAAGTGGTTGCATCAAATGCTTGATCAAGCTATGCTTTCTGCCACTTAATGGTGTGGCAAACTGTCATGTTAAACTGTTATTTATTTTAAATGCTATTAATAGGTAGCTCAGTTCTTCTTACCCTTTTATTCCTTCATTTCCAGTTAGAAGATTTAAAGATAGAAACTATCACTGTTTCAGCATGACCAGTCACATGTTTATTTCTCTTTCTCATCAGGCCCGCTTCATTCTCATCCTCTTGGTTGGCTCCTTTGATGTCATCTGTGCCATCATCCTTATTCAGAGTCAAAGCATGATGGCCTTTCGAGTGGGTGGTGCTCTAGAAAGCCTACAGTCACAATACTTCATGCTGAATCTCTGTTTTTCCATGCTGACCTTTGATCTTCAGGCACAGGTATAGAACTCTTCCCCCAGGTTCCATTTTTTCATCCTGTTGAGAGTATCTTAGAATTACAGCTAGCTGAACTGAACTGAGAACTTCCTAAAGCAATTCTGTCTGTATGTTACCTGCTAGGTAAGATTAGCCTGATAATGGTAATTTTCCAGCTGTTTTTTGGTGTCAAGTATTTTGGTGAGATAGACAGTCTCACACTAAAAATTTTAGCAAATCTTTGCCTCTTCTCTTTCAGCTCTGCTTGTGTATTCTGCTGATAAGCCTCCATGAGATCACCCTTCTACATAACATCATTTCAGCAACAGGGATTCTCTGGGCTTGCCTGAAAGTGACCGTTAGCATCATCGCAGTAAGTATGAAGCTAACAGCTATGCTATCAAGGATAATCAACTTGTGAATCTAGAAGTTCCTGCTCTCGAGCAGTAATCACAAGCTAGGAAGTCACAGCGATCCCTTTCTGCATAATATTGCTAAGTGGAAGGGATCTAGAATGGAGCCCAATAGAAAATGAGAACACCAACAATAACTAGGTTTAATACAGATCTGTGTCTGTCCCCTGAGTGTGAAGGTGAACCACCTCAAGCTATCATTACTCCTTTTTGAGGGACATAGTTTTATTTTCAGTCCTTCACATCTGTGGAACATACAGATGGGATGACACTATCTTCAATATTTCTACCTCTGTGACAAAGTTAAGTGAAATTATCAACTGTCCTCCAGATTACTGTGAAGATGGATGTACAGACACAGACTGTACAGACCTCAGATCCTTGGGAACCACACCAAAAAGAGGAGTGGTCCATTATTGGGGCAACTTCTTTAAAGATGAATGAGAATTTTCAGTTTAATGTACGGATTTATATATATCTGGTCTTATTTTACAGATTTTAAAAGAACTGAAGCCTCTAGTGTGGATTTTTCTGTGTCAGAACGTACCTGAAGTAGTTTTTCTCATCTACCTGCTTTACACGGTAATCCATCAGACTTACTTGCTTGATAATGGGGAACAAGTCTGGAAGCTTCTGCTTTGTTACTGGATCCTTGGGTGCAAAACATGGTGTCTCTTTCCTGAGCATACACCTTCACTCGCAGCTCATTTTAGAATCAGTGAGAGCAGCAGCTATGTCCAGCATCTTTGGAATGTATTTTCCAGATAGGAATCATGTCAAATTGCTCCTGAACTAGTTAGTTAAAGGGAGAGGCTCTGGAACTCACTGCAGCTGGCAGAGTATCTGGAATGATTAGAGAAAGATGAAAGAAAATCTTCCAACACAAGGTACATAGTTCTTCTGAAATGTTCCTCTCCCTCACAATAAGTCTCAAGTGGTACCACTGTTTGACCAGCTGCAGGGTCTGAAGTCATATTTTAAAGAATATCTTACACAGTATCCCAGATGCTGATCTTCATGTAGGCAAAACAGGAGACACTGTAAGCTCAACAAAGCTCAGTGTTGAGCATTTTTTGGCACTATAATAGTGATAAAGCACTTATCACTGGAGCAGCCCAACAACTCCCACAACATGTGGGAAAAGAGGCAAGGAAGAAGAAAGGGTAAAGCTGATTATCCATCACGGGAAGGGCCCAAATGCTATTAGCAGCCAGTACTTTGTTTCTCATACTTCACTCCCAGATACTGACAAAAGTCCATTGGCTACAATCCTTGTGGTTTTATTAAAGGCTGAAGTCAAATCGGGTTCTTCCAATTATCTACAGACCTCTTTGATTTGGAAAAGCACAAAAGGACCACACACTGACTTTGGTGGTTACATTTGTATTGCAGTTAGGAATGAAAACATGGATAAGAATAACGTAGCAATTTGAAAATAGCTGGATCTACTTATGGTTTTGCATAGCAACATCTAAGAGTGCCTAGCAAATGAGGGCACTGGCATACATAGTAAAACTCCTCTCAGATAAAGCTGTAATATAGTCACTTATCACATGACTTCTTCCAGAAATTTAGTGGTTGATTGTATTTTATGGGTTCCAGGATTTTGATTGTTGTGTCTTTATGTTCCTGCAGGTGATAAAAGAGTGGGGCAGAGGGAATTCTTATACTTTAGAGGCTGCTTTCATTACTGGCTCTTGCATTTCTGTTGCAATAAAATCTGTTTTGTTTTGGGCGTTGATTCACGTCTACCGTGGCTTTGGGCAAGGACTAAGAGAAAGAAGTAAGTACTCAAAAAGGTTAACTTAACTAAGAAGTCTGTGGCCTGTTGGACTCACAATGAAGTAGAGAGCTTGCCAAGCCAGGAAAATAGTTAGGAATAGTCACGATAAAAGGCAGGTCTTTATTGCCATCAAGCAGTACTGCAGCCTTGGAATCTACTGGCCTGACAAAGTTCAGCAGCTTGGATCAAATATTGTGATATCTCCTTGAAGAAAATCGCTATTTGTTAAATCCATACAAGAACTGCTGCCATCCAGAAAAACAGATCTGTGTGGAAGAAGTCTCCTCTATACAAAATAGATACAATTCTTTTTTATCATGCTGTGTAAATGTCTAAAATAAGAGGGATAAAGGGACCTACATAGCCACCAGTCTGAAACTACCTGTATCTTATAAAAGGAGGACATAAATGTTGATAGGCATTGTTTTTTACTAATCTACCTCTTCCTTTCTTCCCAGTGTTTTCTTCCTATGGAAGGATCGACTCCTGAGCATCCTAACTGCAGCTCTTACAGAGTGAAAGCATAGCTGAGAAGTTCTGATCAAGTGCATGCATTTGGAATGTAAGATAATGGGTCTGTTTCACAAAGACAGAAGAAGTTGCTTTGAAAAGTGTCTTCACATTTCTTAGCTTGTTTTGTGCTATGGGATTACAGCAGTGCAGCTGATAACAGCTTATAAAGCAAAGTATGCTCATGAAAACAAGAGTAATCCTCTCACACTCAGTGGGTTCTGCTGACAGGACATTGCAGCTTTCACTCACATTCCTGATGTTGCTTTGAACTGTGGGAGGTTCACAACACACATGTGAGTGAGGCACATCATTCATATAAATGCTCATTTTGTTGATGTTCCAACATAAGATAATTTGCACGCCAGTCTTTACTTACTGAGGCTAGAAGTGGAGTGCCTTGCCTCCATTTCTCAGCTCAGACCTGTCACTGAGCAGAGGTCCTAAGAGCTCCACAGTACATGCTTTCTGTTCTGCAATTCATGTATGACTTCCATGAGCTGTTTAGATAACAGCTATATTCTCTGATATCCACTGTGTCTATGTGATTGCTTATCCCCAATGTAATAGCTAGAGCTCTTGTCCCTGTTCTGATTTAAGAATAATTCATAATATTTTTTTAAATCTCAGCTCCACATGAAATCTACACAAGGTCATTTCATGCCCTCTAGCGTATCTAACCAATGTGCCATTTCACACACAAAGGTGACTTGAAATAAGTCTCTACTATTGCAATTTAAAAGTTTGGTATTTTACTGATTGGAACCTTTAGCTACTGGTTATGTATTTTTTAATAAAGTTTAAACACAGTTTTGGCATGGGTTATTATTTCTTCAATTAATGCGATGCGTTCAATGGGAAGCTGGTTTACAAAATGAAGATGGAAGAGCTTGAAACTGCAAATCCTGTGTGCTGTGAACCATACTGGATGAAGTAGCTGAAACTGTTTGTTGTAGCTTTGTAGGGAAATTTGTAGGGAGGATCTCAAGACTTGTATAAAGAGCTGAGACAAGGATGGGAAAAATACTGACAAAAAATACATTTTATAGGCAGCACAATGGAGACATGAAGAGGTTAATCGTCTATGGTCAGGCTGCATACAGCTGGCACTTTCAAGAGAAAGCACGAGAGTACCAGCTGATGACTGTGACTTCATTCCACAAGTCCAAATGTGACTATGTATTGTTGCTGAAATGGAGGAAAACAATTAAGCATATTCAGTACTTTTCTAAAATAAGCCAGCATGCAGCAGGTCTTGCCCAGAGCAGTAGCAATAAGGGAATACTTATTTTTTGCAGTAGGCCTTTACTTGGCCAAAATTACCTGAAAAAAAGTAGGCTTGTACCATGCTTTTTTTTGTCCTCATAGCAAAATAATGGCACTACTGTTTTCTTGCCTCCTGCATAGGCAATAGAGTGTCACTGTCACACAAATGCTGGGTTATCTTTTTGGCTATGGACTGGAAGAGCTTGTAGCTAGCCAAGCATAAGATGGAAAACTCTTGCTAAAGCACCTCAAGTAGCAAATAAATTCCATTTAAAAGCTGCTATATTTACCTGCATATGGTATCTCCACACATTTTTCAATGATTTGGCGTGCATCAATTGTTGGAATAGGTTACAGATTACATTATAAAATCTTGAAAGGACATTTAATCATAATTGTTAGCCGTAAGTTTTATGGAAAAAGTGTCTGGAACTTGATCACAGCATGCAAAGGAGAGGATAGAATGGGCATTTAAACTACAATTTCACTCTTAAGTTTACTATATATCCAAATATCTGAGATTATCTCAGATTATCACCCATGTCTATTTCCTCACTCACTTTTCTCCTTTTGGACCTTCATAAAACTAGTTAATGAAGCCCAATTAGCTGTAAGGAAGATTTTTTTTGTTATTATTTTTAAACTTGCACAACAAATCCAGGAGCTTTTATTTTGAAACTTTTGGGAAAAGACTTGCATCAGACATACACAATCACAGCAGCCTTACATGCATTTCTAGAAAACAAAAGCTACTGTCCCATGAGACAATGCATCAAAACCCCACACTGAATATTTGTCTTCCAAGGAAGTAATTGTGTATACCTAATTTATTATTCTCAAAAGTCAAAATGCTCTTAAACAAATTCAACTTTACAAAAAGATTTTATTGAAAGGATTGAAAAATATTTGTTTTCAGCAATATTTAAAACAAGTTTCAAAGCATTAACAATATGTAACAGAATTTTTCCTCTTAAAAATTAAGTACACTCTGCTTTACACTGTACTACATTGGTTTTTAATAGCTTCTTAAAGTCTAATAGAGAGTGACTTTGTTTTGTTGCTGTTGTTGTTGTTTTTTTAAACACATCAATTTCCAAGCTTCCATTTTGGCCCTATGTAGTCTGGAAAGGGTTTATAGGTACAGTGATATTTCCAACCCTTATATTAGAAATACCATTCATAATCAGCAAAACTTTGTTTTACTAGCACAGTTTAAACAAATTCAGTAAGCTACTTTTATTGCCAATATTACCAAGTCTGCATTAGAGCTTTAATCACATTCAGATGTAGTTAGAACACAATACCCACACTTGAAGCAGTTAAATAATGCAAAATCCTCGAGTGCTGATCAAACTTTACTAGCCTGCTTGCAAATTGCTGGTTTGCAGATTAAGGGCCTTGAAAAGGGACTTTGTACAGTTAGATAATTTGTAACATATTAACACAATTTCTTTTGTGTTTTTATATGAAGCTAGCGTAATTATAATCAAAGGTGTTTTCCTGAAGAAAAAGCAAAAGACTAAAGCCATCTCATGACTTACTTTCCTGTGGTCAGTGACTGTAGCTCTACTAGGCTGAGCAGTGATCCAAGTAACATCGTTACCAAGCAGGAAAAGTTGTATAAGCAAAACTGCAGAAGCCTCAAAGCCAGTAATTCAATTGCAGTACGTGATAAATTTAAGGACAACTCCAGCAGATCTAATTTAGAGAAAGTAGTTAGCTAAGTTTTGTTTACATTTCATGAACGTGCACTCTACAAATTAAAGTTCTGCAGTTTAATCAATGAAAGCTTTACTATTATAAAAGCATAAATAAAAAGTGCTGAATATAGTTTTATCTTTACAAAAAAATAAGATAGATAAGGCTCATTAATTTTACCTCACCTTTACAAAATGATTTCCACCTTCCTCGTGTGCCTGGTATCCTGCTCATTTTTCATTAAACAATACATTTTTATAGCCACTATACCCTGTTCCTCCTCTCAGTTATTGCATGATTAAATAAAAGAATAGTTTCAAAGCAAAAAGTTTGATGATTCCACAGCTCAAAAAGTAAACAGCTATTTAATAACTGAATACCCCACCTAGAAAACCCGTAAGCAGCATCAAAACAGTGATAAAACAATTACTGCAGATTCAAGTGAAAGATAAATGTCAAAAGCTATTCTTGACATTCTCCAAGTTATCACAAAATTTTTCTGTTTAGATCAAAGTAAACCAATATTCTATTCTACAAAATTTACAAACTGAATTTATATTAACACCATTTCATTGTGATTTTTCTCATTAACTAAGAGTTTGCTCCTCTTTTATGGAAAAGTGCTCTCACCTCAATTAATAAAGTTAGACAGACTAGGGCAGCATCCAAAACATAAAGAGACATTATTTGAACCATCAGAGCACAGCACGTTAGGCAGAGTTTGGGAATTAATACATTTCCCACTACCACTTTGGACCACGTGTACAACATAAAACAATCATGAAAAGTTATCATTGCTTCTCGCTCCACTTTCAAGGAAATCCCACCTTGTTCAGTTAGAAATTACCCCTTCCACAGTACAATGACATAGGCTTAAATTCAACTGATCACGTCCATTCCTTTAATGGCCAATGCAGCAACAATGCAAAAATGCTGAAGTTTGGATAGTGTGACCATGAGACTGCACCACAGAGAACATAAATGTAAACATTATCCTTGGGTTTGATTTTTTCAGTTAAATTACAGTACAAACCCTTCTTTTTTTTTTTTTTTTTCCCCAAACTAGGTTGTTGTTGTTCTTTTTCATAAAAGCACATACAATAAAATATGTACATAGAGAAGTTAGAAACATTTGAAAGCATCTTAAAAAAGTACATACGAGACTTAGAATATCTTGAGTGTGCTGAAGGCACCATTGTTACTCTGCTGGGAATGTGTCCTCCCATTTATCAGCCTACCAATGCAGTATCCCTTACTGTATTACTCAGCACCCAGAATTGGAAAATACCTGTGGAATTTGAGGGCATCCAGGGCCTAGTACAGGACACTGTCGTCTTCAAGACAATAGTGGCACTAGGCAATACAGTATTCCAGATTCCTCTCGAATATCTGGAGCTTTTTTCACTATTATTTTATCTTTTATCACTATTATTATACAGTCCCTAATGTCCCATTTGTTCCAGAGCATCAAACAAAAATAAGCACGCTAATGTTTCCCACCAACAGGAACTGCAGAGCTACAAACAAGCTCAGCAAGAAAAGTGAAGATGACTGAAATAATCAACTCAGCCCAAGCTAAATGCTTGTCCATGCTGTTCGTTGGCGGATATTTACACAGTGATGACAGCAAAGGGTCAAACACTGTTCAGACAAATGGGTACTGTGCGTATGCATGTGTTTGCACATGTGTTATTTGTATATATAAATGTGTGGAGTTCTTTTCCCTAGTTCCATCTACTCAAAAAACATTCTTCTTGGACACAAGATAGATATCTATCTTATATAAATCTTTTTTTTTCTAGCTTCGTCTATTAATAAAAACATTCCTGATAGGTGTTCCTTATTCACAGTTTTTGTCACACTTGCAAGTCAGAAGAAAGTATGTTAAGCACTGTTTTGATGGAGAGGTGTTCTGGGCAAGTTGTATTTAAGTCAGATAAAAAAGTAAAGCACTTCTTTTTTAAAGTCAATTTCTGTAGAGCCTTCATGTGCATAGAATTCTTAACAAATGGAATTACATACATACCAAAGTAAACAGACTATTTTAATGCCTCTTTCCTACTGCCATTTTTCTATTACATATCTACATACAGCCTACCACGTTAGTGGTAAGTTATATGTTACAATCAAATCTACAGATGCAGTCAATACCAATCAGAAATAACCCATTTTCCAACTGCTCGTTTAAAGAAAATTCAAACTGGATTACAGCAATCATAACCTCACTTCTTCCATTCTATTCCTGCTGGATAGGAAGTAGCAAAATAAATTTCCAACCATCAGCAGATCAGACTGATATAAAGTATATCACTGGATATGTGTCTGAGATGGCAACCACACCTGTTAGCAAAAACTTATAAAACAGAACATATCAACCATATAGAAGGGATACTGCCACTTTCCATTCCCATGAGTCATTAGATGTAGACACTCAAAATTCTTCTTCTTCAACAGCAAAGTTATTTTGCTTCTTCCGAACATTCCAGTGTAAACACTCAGCCAAGCTTTCAAACCAGTCGCTCACAGGATCTCGGAAACAGATCGAAGGAAGGGGATAGCAAGAGGTAGTGATGCTAATACTGCAACAACACAGGAATACCTCAGGTCAGTCAATGGCAACAAACAGCATTTTAATCTCTCTCTCTCTCTCTCTCTCTCTCTCTCTCTTATTCACTGACCAACATAGTGCTACGTTCAGCAAACTGGGTGAACTCAGAAACCAAGTTTACATGCACAACTAAACAGAGTGTAAACAAGCAATAAAACAACAGTGTGGACAATAGCTTTTTGATACAGTGAGAGCCCACTCCACAACATCCTGCATGGCCTTCACACAGCAATGTGCCCCATCAGCAATGGGGCAAGGGAAGATTTAAGCCACTGTCTTGGCTTGAAATTTCAAGTTTCAGCAATATGCAACATGACTAAGAAGTCTTGCTTCTAACAAAGGACCAAATGCCAAATGTGATGCTTGAAGCCCCGTCAGTCTCTTGATCTATTCTACAGATCTTTCAATCAATTCAAGACAATGTCAACCAGGAAGAAAAAAAAAAAATCCCAAACAGCAAGTCAACCTCTCATGTCACAGAGGCCACACCTCCCTTTGCAATGAGTCACCATATTTTTTACATAAAAACTGCATTCTGCTCACTCAAGATTAATAGAACTGCAAGTGGCCACCGCCATTCACTAAGTTAACATGGTTTAAACCATATGGCATCATTCAAAGCTTATACCAACACTTGCTAGTTTACGTCTTAAGCTAAGACCTTCTAGACAAATTTACAGAAATTTCTGAAGATGTCCATCCTCCTTGCCAAGTATTCAATGTTTACATGCTTTAGTCTTACTAATTCATTTGCTTTAAAAGATCTAAAAAACCATAAGAAATTAAACAGCACAGTTTTGTGCTGTAAGAGACATTAGACTTTATAAAAGTTTGTTTCTTCACTGCCAACAACCCTTAGGACAGTCAAAGCAGAATGAGAGAAGTGCATGAATCAGTACTTCTTGCACTTCTAAAGAAATGCTACAATCTAGAAAGATCTTACCTGTCTCCATGGCATATTTCCTGTCTCTTCCTTCCATCAAATGAAACCCATGCTGTATTCCTGGCATCTGGGGAGAGCATAATCTGAAAGAGAGAAACTGAACTTCAGTTTCCAAATCTATCTTTCTGAGTATAGAATTTACATTAAGTCAATTCCATATTCAGGTTTTACAGGCTTTTTTTTTTTCCCTCCTATAAGACAGCCTTAACAAAAACAATCAGTGAGTCTCAGATATCTTTAATAATTTACTCCTAATCTGAAATACTTGTTGTTTTAGCCACGAAAGTAATTTCACTCAAATTCTACTGGGTTTACATGCATTTTAGCAAAAATGATCTAGTATTTTCTTCGTCAGAACACAAACATACTTCAAATTTGCAGAAGTTTACACAACAGAAAGCAATGTGAAGTCTTCTCCTAGCAGGCATATTATTTTAAGCAAAGACCTATTCTTCACCCAGACTTGATCTGGTCCAAATGAAAGAATGCAGGAGATACACAGCAGTTCCTAAACTCTTCTCTTTTGGTCAGGTTTGCATGGTTATTACAGAAGTTTTTAATTTGAAAAGAGAACTAATAAAAGCTAACCTTGAGTTCCACTCCAGCAGGAACAACAATAGGTCTGAAAGACAATGAGTGAGGGCAGATTGGGGTGATCATTATTGCAGGAACATTTGGATGAATCATAGAAGCTCCTGCAGCAGCTGCGTATGCAGTGCTACCGGTCGGTGTGGAGACAATGACTCCTGAGAAAGAAGCAAAAAATTCACTTAGTTTAACATTAGAACCAGTGCTGTTATTTTGGAAAAAAAATCTAAGAAACACAACTGTTAATGAAAATGAAGCACAGACCACATCAGCTTGTATTAACCTACAGCTCTTCTGTGAAGCACACAAATCAGCAACTCTTCTAATCTCGGCCTGGTACATTTGTCCTATGAGCTCACATAAATTGCACAAATTTCTAAAACTCAGGTTACACTTTTTTTGTAACAGAAACATCCATTTGTCTGTAAGAATTACAGGTTAAGAACTTTTAAGATGAACTTCTGTATTATCTCTCTTAGAAGATTTTAGTCATTCAACAAATTCCAGATATCTTCTGAGCTATTTCTTGTTCTTTCATCTAACACATTATACCCAAAGAAGCTGCCACTTGCCTTCGTGAGTCCATAAACAGAAAGTTTACAACACTGAATGCTTCCTTGATAACTTATGCATTCCATAATGCAAGACTTTACCTATTCTTTGCAACCTCGTGTTTTCTGTCACCAGTGAACTCAAGCTTGAGATTTAGTTTCCATGTGGAAAAAACAGCATTCACTAGTAATTACAGCAGTCTACAAATGAAGTGAGAAGCAGTTTAACTCAAGAAGCAAACTCACCATCTCCTTGCACTGTTGTTATCAGGTGTCCATCTAGAAAGACATCTACATTGGAAAGGTAAGAAGAAGGACCACGATCCACCACAACTTCATTTAGGACCTGCCATAACATCGAATATCACCACTGTTGACTTGGGAATGGATTAAATGATAAGCAGAAACATGCTTTCCAGACCTTGGAAAAATTCACCCTGATTTAGTACCTGCCAAATTTTGTTGTCAGTTGAAGGATTTTTATTTATCTAACTATGGAATGTTAAGAATTAAGAGGTATTACCAGAAAATTGTTACTAGCAATGTGTGGGGTTTTCCTTTCTGCTTATAAAGCCTTTAAGGCATCCTATTTCAGAGCTACATATTGATTTACAAAGTAGAAGTAAAATATCAATATAGGAAATGACAATATTAGCATTTATGGCTGCAGGAAGTAATGAGGTGCATCATTTTTTCATTACTTAGTGCACATATTGTGTACTACATAAATATGGTATATATCTCTCCCACACTACTGGGCTAATGTAATGACAATGCTGACGTGATAACAAAACACATATAGAGCAAATTACAAAGCATATATTAGGGTTTGTTTGTTTGTTGGTTGGTTGGATTTTTTTTGGAACACTGACCTGATATTGCATAATTTGCTTGCCCACTTCTTTCTCTATATTTGTAGGCACTACTCCATTTTCTTCTATGCCATTTTGTACTGTCAGCTTCTCTCTGTGCTCTTTTACCACTTTCACTTTCAGCCTGCTTCGCAGAACAAGAGCTGCATTGCCTAGAATTGAAATACAGGAGAACGTACACAAGAATGATATGCTACTATAGTAAATAAAATGGTAATGACTACCAATCTGTACGAAATACCTTCCACCTATTCCCTGTGCAATGTTCCCAGTATCATTCACAAGAGAACCTAGGTAAAGCTCAAAACAGATTTTCAGTATTCATGAGCAAAAATCAAGTCAAATCTGAATCTTCCTCTCTTTCCTTACAATATTAAAAGAATATTTAAGTTTCACGTGGATATCATCAAGATTAGAAAACACTTAAGCTCATGTGATCCTCACTGAGACAGAGGCTTAGCTTAAAGAAAATAACTGCATTACGAACACATATTAAAAGAAAACATTCCAGCAGCGTTAGAATTTTATATATCTTTCAGAAATTTACTTGAATTTAAATCCATCTCCTATCGAAGAAACAAAATATTTCTTCAATTGTTTCAAGTGATGCCTGACTTTTCACTCTTCAAGCACTGCACTGCTTAGAGGAACAAACTACCAAACACATCACAGCTATCTTCTGTTATTTGCTTACTCCACATAGGACAAAGTTATTTCTTATCCATTTTTCTTTACAAAATAGCACAGAGAGTAGAAATTGAACGGGTCAACACAATGCTTTTGTTAGTTAAGTGTAAGTTGCTTGTGACTATGGGACTACCTAAATGAGTTGGTTAAGAAAATTAACCAGTCTCAGAAAAAGCTACAGAAAATGTAACAAAAAGAAACACCACACCTTGTCTCCTTAAATTTACCTTCTATAACCTGAGTGACTTGGGACTGAAAATTCTCAAAATTAAATGGAGTAAGAAATCCAAGGGATCCCAGATGAAAAGCCATAACTGGAGGTACACTACCCTATCAATAAAGAAAAGAATTTAAAAGCTACTGAATAAAAGCAATTCATACTTCAACTAATTGCCTGTAAGTACTTTGACTATTAATGTAACTTCAATAAAAGTTCATAATAAAAACAAATGTCATAATTAAATTAAGCAGCTCATATACACACTATTTTCAGCAGGTATAGGGTAAAACATGCTTGATTTAAAAAAGGAATCAACAATGAAGGACAAATGCAGTCCTTGATAATAACAGAAAAAATTATCTTCAAATATTTTTAAAAAGAAAAGAGTCCTTTAAGCCTCTTTCTAAAAAAAAACCAACCTGGAAGAGCGAAGAAGCATAAAGCAAGGTCCCATCTCCTCCCAGGCATATGATAAAGTCTATTTGATTGGAGATATCATCATAATCTGGAAGAAATATTTAAAGACAAGTTCTGAATTATGTTTTATCAAAGGTCAAATTCCTGATGCAAGATACGTGCATCATACCAGCATTCACTCACAAACGTGAAAAAACTACAAGTAAGATGTAACAACAGTTTGCAAGGGACAGACTGGTTTCACAACCTTGATCCAATACCAAGGAGATACTAAGACAAATAAATGCTATGCATCAACTTTCTTTTCAAGAATTCGTTACCATACCTTCTCGAAAGGTACAAAATTTCTTCTTCACTGGTCCAAAATTATCATCATTTGCAATAGCAGGGTCTTCCAATACTTTTTTTTCTACGTACACTATCATGTTGTTCTCCTAAGAGGAGGTAAGATGAGCTTGTTAACAACCACTGAAATATCGAAGTATTGGATTCCCTCCATAATTTGAATCAGTCAAAAACACAAATAAAAAACAGATATTATTTTTATTGATCTGCATCTTCAGGTAGCAGGGCTTTTTTTACTATTATTCTTAATATACAACATGTGGTTTAATTCTAGCCAGAAATGTGCAGCATACATAGGCCACCTGATGAATAAAAATCAGCTCTGGAACAGGAATTACGTGATACAGTAAACACTTCTGTTTACTCGAGGCTCTAAGTATTAAATTTTCTGTCCTATGTCTTACAATTCAGATCTGAACACAATATGAAGGAAACAGTTTTGATTTTCCCTCCAAGTACTGTTCCTCTGAAACAAGTTTTAATACTTCCAGTGCAATAAAGTTTGTGCTAATGAACTATACAATTCTATGGATTTCATGTTTAACAGTATCAGTAACTGAAAATAATTTAGATGCAAGATTTCTCATCATGGTTAAAAAAAACCTGAATTTACATTCTGTTACCTCAGTAAGATACACACAGAGCTCTTTAAAAGGCTGCAGCAGACTGGCATCACGTATTTTTTTAATAACAAGGACACTCTTGGGAGGTTTGTTCCATGTCAACCGCTGGCTTGCTGGATCCTGAATGTGCCTAGAGAAGAGAACACAGCGTAACACGAATCTTCAGGATTGTTAGGTTAAAAACATCATCTTTTAAATCAGAAGATGTCACTATAAAGGAAACACAGAGGACTAAAAGCACTGAGTAACTGAAAGAAGGGGCAGAGATGTACTGCAGTGCCCGTAGATTTTCAAAAAATTTGTTACTACCTTTTGCTTTGACATCATTTTAGCCAGGTAAGAACATACATCTTATCACACACACTGCTGAGACAATAGAGAGAAGGATATAATTGTAATGATGCCTTCTCCCCTCATGAAACCAATAAATACTTTCCTTCACTAAGATTTCACTGATTTCAGTATACAGTCACAGTTTTCTCAGTACAGCCTGAAGTCTGTAGATACAGGAACAAATTTTTCTAATAAGAATTAATTCAAAACTACAGTATCACCAGAAAAGGGCAAATATTTCAATAATTAACACACAGATATGTGTACTAAATCCTCAAGGGAAGCCTCAACAGCTACAACAACCTGTATATAATCTCTACTCTAGGAAGTCTGTAGCAACTCTTATACTTCCTATCATAAAAGCTCATTAACTTCATGCTGCTCTGTAACACACACCATTGATTTAGGAACACACAGATGTATTCTGCTTCTTCATTTGGATCTGCTGCTGACCTACACAATTTTACTGCTGTATTTTGCATACAATGAACATCTCATCCTTTTCCATAAGGCGCAGATGTAATCCGTAAAGCAAAGTAGATTAGTATCCATGCTGAACAGCCAAATTTAGAGATTTGGATTTAGTACTTCAAGAGTTAATGTAAAACAGATGATGATAATGGAGATGGAATAACCTGCTCATTTTACTTTTATGAAAAATGTTCACATTCTGCATAGAGCAGAAACTATAGACTAGCATAATTTTGTTCAAAAAAAAATCTATTTTATAAGATCAAATTCCTCAAATTTAAATACTGCTCAAAGGCAAAAAGCACGTGCATAGAAACCACCCCAAAAATACATTTCAGCACAATCAGGCTGCTTTGTAAAAGCTGGCAGAGAACTAAAGATTGCAGCATTGCTTTTCACCTAACGAGCCCGGAACTAACAGATTTTCTTCAAACCAAAAAGACAATCTGCCTACTTTAGCTGTACTCACCAATTCCATGCAGCTCTAATTGAAAAATTATTCATAACATGCTTTAAGACCTTCATGTTCGTTTCCAGAAGTCAGGCAAATGCAACAGCTCCAAAAAACCAGGCTGTGCTGAGGCTTTTACCAATTCTTAAGAAACTTCTACTTAAAAAAAAAAATAAAAAAATCCCATCCAGCTAAATCTTTCCAACAGTCACAATAAAAAGTTGAGGCTTCACATTTAGAAAACTCACTTCAGAAAACACAGCCTTCAGACAGCAGAGTTTTCAACACTGTGACTTAAAGAGACCCTGATTAACTGATGCCCATACACAAAAAGATCTTCTGTTAAATTTCCCTCCAGTGAAAAGAGTTTAATATTACTAGTGACTGTAGAAAAGGAAAAAGAACAACCAAAAAGGATACGGCTGTTTTTAGAAGCCACAAAACAAACAAACAAAACCTTTAAAGTTGTAAAAACAGTAATTTATAACTTGGTTTTCAAATAGTCCTTTCCTTTGACGACCTGAGGGTGCCCCTACCTCCACAGCTATTCTGCACACTGCACAGTCTTTTCCCTGGCAAGCAGTGTGTTTAGTATCGCCTACAGCCTCTGTGCTCAACTGATCTTGACACTATCATTATATGGTGCAAAGCTGGCTCAGCCCACAGGGAGGAGCATATACAGCACAATCAGGTGGGTAAACATGTAATGCAGGCTGGGTTTGCAGGTGAACTACTGTATACAAAGTCGCAAACTTCAGAAGAGACAGAAAGAAGGAAGTTCAGATCCCATGTACTGCAAGATTTCTGCCACACCTCTGTAGGAAACATTACGTTACCATTGATGTGTTTTGAGGAAAATCACTACAATTTAGGTAAAGATTGAAGCGAAGAAATACTTAATTCAAATACCGTAAGTTTAACTGAAAGGTAAATCAATAAAACAGAACTTTACAAAAGGACAGAACTGTTTGTGTATCTGCTGAAAAAAGCCTTATTTTCACAATAAATTTACCAGCAGAGACTAAAAATAACTTGCCTTCATATTCATACACTGAAAGCATCATAGATGAAATACTAAAATTCAAACCATTCATTCAAACAGAAAGCTTTCCTTGGATGAAACTGCACAGTGCACACAGCAATTCCTCTACCTTTTTTCACATTTTCCACAATAATTTCTGTCCCTCTGTACCCGAGAAACAATTTTCTTTATGGAATAAAGAAAATGATACCAGCAGCTTCTCAGCATCATAATTAGATTGCTATATGGGAGTTTGATACATGGAATTTACTGTCAGCTGTGTTGGAAAGGCTTTATTATCGTTGCCATTGTTGACCACAATTTAGGAACTGCAGATTATGCAAAATACATTTAAACAAAACCCCAGTACTTAAAAGTATTTGCATGCTCTGTTCTATTTATTTTAAATACAAAATGGTTCATTTTTTTCTTAAAATAGATCCGTTGTGCTGAGAAAAAACTCCATTAGTCTAGATAGTGAATCATCAGAACATCGCATGAATTAATAACGTTAAAAGGGTATTCATTCTACTGATTGATGTCAGTTGCCCTGTGAGAAGTATTCCAACTGGCAAAACTACTATAAAACCATACAGAGAAATACTGATTATATCCTATCAGCCCTTTGGGAAAAGGAAACAAGAGTGACATTTAAGCCCATACTACATTTTTCAGCATGCAGATTAAGGCAACAAGTGTGATCTAAACTGCGAGTCAATTTTTGCAATACAGATCCCAGCACAACAACACTGAGTTGGGACGAGTAGTAGGAAAGCAAGCTTATCTTCTTTCACGTGGAATAAGCATAATATCAGTCACTTGACAAGTACTTACATAATCGTTTTAGGATTTTGCAGCATACAGGCCTTTGGTCCAAACGTGGTCACTGGGCATGGTCCATGCAAGGAGCGTGTCCTCCTGAACATCAGAAGTTAAGAAAGAAATAAAGGTGATGGCAAGCTAGGTATAATTAGCTCCCCAAGCACCAAAACCAAACCAAACATCTTTGAAAGAGCTACGTTAGGCAATGAAGGACAAAGTCCATTTCTTAAACTTCTATTTGTGGGTGACTAGCCAATATAATTTTATACACATTAGCTCAGACATTTCAAAGCTAAATTTTAACTCCTGTACCTCCCTCCTTGACAGAGATTTTATAACTGAAGCCACACTCATAGTTCAAGCCCTCCTGAGGTGAGCACACACTAAATCCAAGCACAGTACCAGGTATGTATTTTTCTTGTATCCATTTAAACTGTGCACAAAGTAAGACCACAGCCTCAGATCTGTGGTTCTGTGAATTCATGTCAAACATGTCAAAGTTTCTGTTTAGTCACAAATCTCCTTGACATTACAGACCAGAACAGTATGTCAGCCTCTCAGGGACACAAAAAAAACCGTAGATAAATTCCAAATTAAAAAAAAAACAAACCCAAACTATGTTCAAGGTCTCACTACTGCAAAAAGGAAAAATGCTATGTGAGATGAAAAAAAAACAGAAATAACATTTTTTTAATAACCAAAAATATTTTGTCTATACATTTAAGGTAGCACAGAAATTTGCAAACAAATCAATTGCTACTGACCCAATTTACCGAAGTCAACTATTAAGAAAGACCAGGGTAATAAACTCAGCCATTTAAGCAGACAAGTGCCTGCGAGGTTAATTTAATCCCCTGAAAGGTACAAAAACATCCCAACCTGAGATTAACGCGCTTTTTTAATCAAGAGAAAACAATGCAATGAAGCACTGCTCAGGCATTTTTGGCTTCTATCATTTAGTGGCACGCATGAATTCCATCACATAAAGAAACAGACCACACAGCAACCTGGTAGAGCACACAGCCTGCCACTGCCAATGGCAGCAGCATGCTGTTAACAGAGAGCACACCTTGCTTTTATGATACCACTTCTGGACTGCACAGTAACATTACCTCTCCCAGCATATATCAGAAATCCCAACTTGCTAACAAGGAAGTGTACCTTGATCACCCAGTAATGAGTGCCAAGGGGCATGTTTTGCAGTAGTCAGAGTATTTTACAAACAATTTCCTTAAGCACTGAACTTAAATTAGAAGCTCCAGCAACAGGGGAGAGATGGAACAAACAGGAAGGTACAAAATGCCTGGTTTTCTAGTAATTTTCAAGAACTACGAGTCTTAGTACTAATGGTGAAGCAAAGCAGAACTACCACGACACATCCAGGATCTCATGTCCAAGAGATCTCAAATGCCAGAGAAAAAGAGAAGACAAAACTTAAAGTTTATCAAATAAATTACAATATAAATCGATAAGATAACACTGAACCTTAGAAACGCAATGCCTCAGATCTTTTACAAACAAACAATTCCTTTGAGCGTGGAGAAAAACCATTATTTTTTCATGTATTCAGTAACAATTAATACAGTATTAATCTTTAAAGTGATTAGATCTGTAGGGTCATTTATCCTCAGACTTAAATTCCACTCAGAACACAGGACTGCTGCTAGCTCTAGGATGAGATGATGTGGAGCAAGTCAGAGCTGTTCTGCCTTACCCGCCTCCCTCCTCCTGCAGCAAATCTGTACATGGGAGTAAAACCCATTGCGTCATGTTGAAACAAGTAAATGCTATTAAAATTATTCCATTAAAATCAAGTGGGAAATATGCCTTTCCTGTGCTTAATTGAATTAACACAGGAACTGGTAATTAACCTATTCCTTGCTAGTAATAAATCATTGCTGCTCTGCCTATTATAGTGTATATTGTGCAGTAGCTCAGCCTGGCCTGATGACTCACTTGGAGCACTATAAAATCCCACACATCAGATTTCTACTGAAAATCAAAAACAGACGACAGATTAAAGTCATAATATTTTTTCCATGTCTAAGAAAACATGTTTGTGTAAGATTTTAATTATGATAATTAACATTATTTAATGTCCCATAACAAATACATTAAAGTTTTGTTTAACTTACGTTCAAACATTTTCTCCAGACACAACTATTATTTAAGCATGTTAAAAGTTTACCTTATTTATATTAAAAGAGAAATATGAGCAAATATGCAGATTATTAGAGATAAACACATGTAGCAGTACATGCAAAGGGAAAATCAAAGGCTCTATTTAAGAAAAGTTACATGTGAAATTAGGACAGTCAAACAGTACTCTGGTAACATCACCTGTCACATTTTGCTCCACTCAAGCCTCTACCACTATCTGCCTTTTTTTGTCTTCTTTACACAGAGGTACTTATTTCATGTCCCTGTTTAGCTAAACTCCTATCCTACAAAGAGGCATCAAATATCCACATCTGAAGATTTAAGCAGAGCAAGAAAAAGACATTTCACAAAAAGCTTACCTATTTGCAGTGATACATAACATAGTAACTAGAACAGTACAGTCCTTTGTGAATATTTCCCAAATACAACGTATCAGCTGAGCAACTTATGCAAAGCAAGTATTCCCAAGTATTAATCTCTTGAGTGAAAGGCTTTTATTACACCTCCTTTCACCACAAAGCTTCCCCTGGGATCTTCAGGTCTCACCCACATAAGCTCTGCCTTGCAACAGCAGTCCTGCCAGCAAAGCAGTAACTCTGGAAGAGATTTTCATCTGTTGAGCAACTCCTTCGTGATTCTGCCCATGCTCCAACCTTACCCCGGATCACAGTATAAGTAAAGTTAACTTCTGCTGCCATCAAGATACACTGTTACCACAGCACACCATCTGGCATATACAACAGGTCCAAAGATCACTAAATCAAAAGTTCTATCCAAGTTGTCCACATGACAAAGAGTATTGCGAATACATCAGGAATTTGGCTCAACGAAAAAAATGGGCGTTTCTCAGTGTTGTGATTAGATTTGTAAGCACCTGCTTATTTGTGCTGCCTCATGTTACAATATAACCCTAATTCTCACACAGCCTTTAAATACACAGCACTACAGCTCCAGTTAGAGCATTTATAAAAAATTGCAGGTGTGCCTCTGCTATTTTTTGAGACTGTAAGCTCTGCAGATATCAGTTTTGACAGCTGTACCATTTTGATTACAGGTCTGATCTTGGTGTGGCCCCAACCTTAAACTTGCTGACTTCCTTTTGGACTAACAACATTTTAAAGTGCATTTTAAGGTTACCTTAAAAGCAAGACTACGGGTATATAAAACCAGAAGCAAAAACTAAGATCTGGATATCCAAACTTCTTCCATTTTTCTTGAAATTGGGAAGAAACAGAAGCCATACCGGAATTCTTTGGTGCTTCCTAGGGCTGGTGAAGCAGACAAGCTTCGTGACTTCGCTCGCCCCCGGCTCGTACTGCTCCACTCCTCATCATCATGACACGCTGAGCAATGATATGCAGAATCTGAGCTCACATCAGCCTTACTGGTACACAGTTTCTCCCGATTCATCTCCATACTGGAAGTGAAAGAACCTCAGTGAGGGAAAGATTTAATTCCTGTGGAAAAACATCAGGGGAAAAGAGACAGGTAAGGGAGAGAAGAGAAATCCCAGTATTAGCAAAGTTAGTAGAGTTATTAGGCATGAATTGATGCTCCTTGGTAGACACTTCTCAACAAGATCTGGGCATTTGAGAAGTTCTTCAAGGTCATCATAAGACACTGGAAGGAAAAACAGACAAGAGTTGAAACTCCAGTGTTCCTAGATTTAAAAGAGTCTTCATGTAAAACTGTGGAGTTCAAGACCATCACATTTCCAGCTACATCCAGAAAAAGTATGCATGCTAAAGACTAAAGAGGAAGAAGAGCATTAAATATTTGCCAGGAATCAAGATTCAGAGAAGTCTATAAAATCTCCTATTAATCAATACATATCTCAAACAAACAAACAAACCTAGATCAAGCTACAAAAAATATATATATGTCATAGTGAAAAAATAATTGAACAGTTTAACTTTAATAAACTTCAGTCCTCCACAGACATGAGATTAATACCAAGCTGAGAAGAGATAAAACCAAACCAGAGCACAACACTGAAGATCTCAAACTATTTGTGACAAAGTGGAGAGGTGGTCCAAACCAAAGAAAATGAAACGTGATAAGCACAAAATATTTCATTCCACAATAGTCAGCACAAGGACAGGATGATGAACAGAAGTAAAAAGCAACACAACGCAACACATAAATACTAAAAACTTTAGTGACCACAAAAGAAATAGGAATCCCTTATTTAAGTTTGCATCATTATTTGAACTAAGTAGAAGATTTCTCACAATAAAAATAGAAAGCAACTTCAAGTGTATAAAGAAACACCAAACTGTGAACAAATCCTATGTCAGATGAAGCCTAAAGGAACAGTACGTTCCTCAAATTACTTCAACCCAGGGAAAAACATTGGCTCATTAGATATTTGCAGATGTTTTTCAACCAGCTTTTAGCACACTGTAACAGCTCCTTACTGCATCATGTACAGAACAGATCAGGACGTTACTGTAACTGTTAAAATAGACTTTGGCAAAGGAGAACACTCAGAATATTTGTCTGTAAGGTTAACACAAAATGAGAAACATCAACAATTTAACAAGCACTGTGCTTCACAGTATCTGAACTCCTACACAACAAAAGCATCAAGAAAAGAAAAAGTAATTTATTAGGAGTACCAGTTCGTTACTAGATTAGACAGAATAATCACCTAATGGCAGCAGAGCACAGCTTTGCTCTCACAGCAGATCAGGTTCACCCCGACACAACGTGGTCATCAAGAAGTGCAGTTAGACTCAACCAGTAATAATTGATAAGATCCTGCACTTGTAAAGATATCAGTGTTTGGTTGTTGGTTACACACTGCTTGGCATCACCAGTGACCATGACTTGGGAAATTCTCCATTCAACACAGTCTTTATTTTAATTACTTAATTTCAGAGATTCAATATAGGGATGAACGAGCCTTTTCTGATATTTTTTCCCCACAGACAACCAGGATTCTAATGAATACTTTTCCCAGTCAAATAATGAACTAATTTACTAAATTACTAAGATACTAATTTACCATCCGTTTGTAGCACTCACATTTGTAATGCACTTGCCATTTCAGGCCTATCAATCAAACATACCTACCAAAAAATCTAGTACCATAATTTGTACTTTTAACTCTAAGGACTATTCTTTATAGGCAGAAATCATGGCAAACAGATCATTCTTGTGTTTGGTGCATTTATATCACAGGGACCAAACAGGCTTCTCAAGCATCTTTACATACCCAGACTTCCACAGACGCTGCTTTCTTGCTGATTAGTAAGGAATTACAGATCTGAGTAAGTCTTTGCCTGAATACTATGCTTTTAGCTAATATAAACCATAACTAGTATGTTTATAGTGAGTCAAAGTTAATCCCTAGGAGTAAATACATTCAATTTTTTAGATATAACCAACAAAAATGCCGGAGATAATTCCTCATCCGTGGCACAGATCTCCCCCTCAAGAATAATCTGGATAGGAAAAAAAAACAAACACTGGAACTGGTAGAGGGGGGGAAAGCAAACCAATGATACCAACAACCACTGCAGCTGCTATTTATTACCAAAATCAGCAACTTGGTGTTTCCAAAAGAAACCCTGTCTGCACAGAATTAACCTAGATAATGATACACAATAGCTAAGTTTAACTACATCTTTTGTTAGTTCTCAATGCCAGCTTCTCAGCTGGTCCAGAAATACTGAGTGAAAATCAGCAGTGAGCAATCTCTCATCATCTCTTGCCAATCCCCTACAGCACACCTCTCAAATTTACTGATACAGCCTCATCTACCTCAGGGATACTCATACAGTTCCATATACTTGTAGCAAAGTATATGCAAATGCAATACCTGTGAAAGAAGCTCATGCAAAGTTACTTTTTTTTCCAATAACTGTGGAATTGCTGTACACCCATCCTGTTTCAGAATATCATCCTTAATTGAGAGGTGCAGAGAACAACAATGTATTTCAAAAGCAATAAAGTCTGTTTCCACATGACTTTGTTTGAAAAATCTTCATCTGACAGATGCCATCAGTAAAGAAAATAAAACTAGAAGTAAGACATTGCACAGATCTACCACTGCATGCAGCACAAGAACTTGATATTCCTCCCATGTAACGCTTTCTAATTCAGAATGTTTTAAACTGCCTCTTACACCACGTACTGTTTAATTAACATCCCCTCATAAGACCTTCATTAAATAAGCAGATCTGACACAAGGACAAAACTATCACCGACCAACTCCCAGGACTGGATCCAAAAACACAACGCACGAGTCAACAAACTAGCAAAGAGGCTGCTCTGCTCACAGTCATGCCCCAAATTAAGAAAAACAGAAAAGATTTAGGAGTACGGCATTCCAGAATAAAAGAAAATTGAGAGTTAGCACTTTGATATTTAAAACTGTGACACTCAATAGCAAGTTGAGTCACCTCTCAGTCTCCAGCTGTTTCTTTTTTATGTCATACATCCCACAAACAATTACCATCACAAACCACAGCTTCAGAGATGTTTTGTCAAATCAACTTTAGATGGGCGGAAAGAACAGCAGAACATCCCAGATGTTTTACTGCACTTTTAGACTATTGCTAAGGAATTACACTCCAGCTCTACTGTAAGAATCCTGGTTATAAAACAAGTCTGAAACAATTTTACTAAGCCTCCACTCAGATGTAATCCACATCCTGTTGGCCAACAGTTATGCGGACACATCTTAAACCATTATCTTCTCTTCTGTTAGATAACAGGGAATAGCACACAAATATGCCCTTCCAAAGAGCTACACAAGGAACATAAGGTTGCAAATCACTAAGAACTTCAAACCTTTTGTTGAGCTTTGCTGGTCAGTGTTTTGTGAAGTTCCCCTCTGTCAAATGCATGGTCCTAAACCATCACAGCAGAAGGTTACCACAGGGTTCATCCCAACCAAACGTGCTTTTATAAGGCTCCAAGGCTGCAGCAATTCTGCCAGTTTCTTAGCGTTGCATCAGCCATTGAAAACTCCTAATTATCAACATTTGTGTGATAGCAGGAAAGGATGACACTGCATCCAAACACCACAGAATCACAGAATGGCTGGGGTTGGAAGGGACCAGGAGGATCATGAATCTCCAACCTCCCTGCCACAGGCAGGACAACCAACCTCCACATTTCATACTAGACCAGACTGCCCAGGGCCCCATCCAATCTGGCCTTGAACACCTCTAGAGATGGAGCATCACCAGACTGGCTGTGCCTTGCTGCCCATCCCCTCTCTGCTTAATGCTCTAATTCTCTAGACAAGGTTTAATAATGATGATGTTTTACTTCGGAAAGCACTCCAGTGGAGCTCATACGCATACAAGCCCATCTCCGAGGCACAAAGCCTCCTGCCTGGCAGAGAAAGCAGGCAGCACTGCATGGAGCAGACAGCATTTCCCTTTTTTCAGCGTCTGGCAGAAAAAAAAAAACAAACAACAAAACAGCAGTGAAACTACCAAAAAGAAAAAAAAAAAAAAGAAAAAAGAGATAGCATGACTATCACGTGTCTCGCACCCGGGGCAAACTCTGTTAACTCTTCCTTTTCGGACCCCGCAGCCCCACACTCTCCTCAGGCTCCAGGCGCCGGCCGCGTTCTCTCACCTGTTACCTTCAGGAAATTCCCGCCTCCCCGCCTCTCGCGCTCACCGCTGGGCGCACCCACCTCGCCCCGCTCGCACAACGCCGGCTTCTCGGAGTTATCCGAACGCACATCGCCCGCGGACGGCTTTCCGAGAGAGAACGGGGCCGGCGACCGGGCGGGATGCGGGCATCGCGGTTCCCGAGCGGCCCGGCCCCGGCACGCAGCCCCGCGGGAGGCCGCGGCCCGCCCGTCCCCGGGGGCTGCCCTCCCCTCAGCGCGGCCGCCCGCCCGCCTCAGCGCCCCGCGCTCACCGCCCGCCCGGCTGCTTTCCCGCCCGCTGCTTCCTCAGAGGCCGAGGCGCCGACCGCGGCGGTGGGGATGGTAGCGGTGGTGGCGGCGGCAACGGCTGCCCCCGAGCACTGAGCGGGGCCGGCGGACCCTGCGCGCCTCCATCGTCCTCTCCCCGCCTCCTCAGCAGAGTCGGCCCCGGGGGCGGGGCGGCGCGCATGCGCGGCGCGCGGGTTGGGCTCGGCCTGTGCGCCCGCGCGCAGGGAGAGTGGCACCGCGCATGCGCGCTCGGCGGGCAGCGTTGCCGCTGTATGGGGCGGTGAGGGCTTCCAGCGTGCATTTAATTAAATTAACTACATTTAATCAACTCTGCGGCATTGAGCAAGGCTCGACGGCCTCGGCCGTCCACGGTTGCAGTTCTACCACCTAGCTGAGATCCTAATGCGAGCCGTGTTTCACGTGGCACAGAGCCCACGCAGATGGGGCAGGGAGAACTTCCAGTTTTCAGGTCTAGAAGTTATGTGGAACTGGAGTTATTCCTGCTAAAAAAGGACATTAGAGCGACATTGACTCGTCCAGCAGCCTCCCCTCAGGTGGGGCTCGGCCCCAAGGTCACAGACACTGCCACCTCAGCCCTCTGCTGCTCACGCATCACCCACACCCAGCACACCTCAGCTGCCACACACTTACGTCTCTGTTTCTCACATTGGTGGTTAAAGATCCCTTCTGACACAATCCCTGCTTAAGAATGCACGTTGTCTTTGGATGCTGGAATCACTCAGCAAGAGACAGAAGCTCCTGAAAAGCAGGAAACCATTTTTCGTTCTGTCTTTGATACAGAGCCTGATTTTCAGCAAGGGAGAAATGAAGCAAAAAGCAGCATGTGATGATTGCAGTATTTGTTCTGACCAGCTCCATCAGCCCCGAGCTGACGATCCTGAAATCATCAGAACTTTGTCACAAACTTTGCACCAACACAGAAACAATCCTTCACGGTCACACACAGATGCCCATCTCTCACTGGAACATAGATTGTAAGAACAAAGTAAGAACAAATCACACCCTTGAGAATGTGGTAATTTGGGATTTTTCTCTCTTCCTTTTTTTACAGAATGCATGTTTCCAGGAAAGCAGGGAGTTACAGAAGAAGTGATAGTCAGTGAAGGAAGAAGCAAACTTGAAAAAGAGGAAGTAGCTGCTAGATAAGGGGAAATCCTACAGCACCTTTTAGGAAGTACACTATTTTGAGTCAAATGTTCTCTGATTCCTCCTTCTGAAGCATGTTAAGGGCCCACTATGCAAGGAGCTGATGAAACAGTACACAGTTCTATGAAGTCAATATCTTGGAGACTCGAAGGTCTTCAGGTGCTTAAAAGGCATGTTCAAACTGCAAAGGAACAACTGAACATGGTGCTAGGAAGGAATATAGCACCAAGTTCCATAGAGTCAAGACATTTATCTCAAAAGCAGCAGAATATGTTCCACCACACAGGAACCGTGCTCAGACACAGTGCCTTTGTTACCTATGCCTGTCCATACCCAATTAGTGACTGCCAAAGCTAAATGAAGAGTAAGTGAATTGGCTTTGGGGGTGAATTTGTCCAAATAAAGATGAAAAGACAAAAGCACCACAAGAACCGTTTCCTACAAAAATACATACTGAAATGTTTAACAGAAAAGGTGGCAGGTTTCCTTCCCCTAAGAAGAGTAACATCATGCAGGTGCTCGATATTTTTAAGAGGCACAAACTCCAGACCTGATGAACACTTATCCTCATTAACCAGCGAAGATCAGATAAGAGCCCTAATCAGCTGAGCCTACCCTATTTATAAAAGAGCTACAATTACAACAGCAGCTCCGAGCTGCTCAGGTTCAGCAGCAACCATGATAGCTCTACTTGCTGATGTGGATAGATATAACAGAGAGATTGCTAACATCTCTTCCCTTCTATGCAGACTGAAGTGTCACAAGAAATAGAAGAGTCTTCTTCACTTCTGAGCATGCTCTCCCTGAGAACGTGATCAGAATAGCATACTTCACTCTGGCAAAGTTGTTCTTACCTCTCAAACCTCAGGAGAAATAAAACATGCACCAGAAATGTTTAAATTCTGATGAAAACAGTGATGTATGAATGTGACAAATAAGCAGTTATCAATGGTGAAATTACAAAGCCATTGATATAAGTATAGAGAAATGCACGCCACAGCTTGGCATTCACTATTTGGGCTGATTACAAATATCTCTAATAGTTACGTAAATGTCTTCATCCTCATTTTAAAGTCTGAGAACTAGATTAATTCAATTGCACAAGGGCTGACAAACCTGTGCCATAGCTGAGATAAGCAATCAGGAGTGCTGGCATGTAGCCCCACACTCAATCCACTTGACAATACAGACTGCCTTTGGTAACGCAAGGATAGACCTGAGAGTTGTTGGCAGCCAGGAAAGAAAGCTTAGGTAAAAGGGAGTGGAGAGATGTAGGAGGAATCTGACACGTAAAGAGCATTGCAAAGGGGAAACCTGCAAATTCTGAGTGTGAAAGGTCAACATTTCAGCACTGTTATTGTATACAAAAGTTAACTAGAAGAACAAAAAGACATACATGTTCGTTCTAAGTACACTGGCTCCAGTTAACAGAGATTACTGATTTCTTAAAGCTTCTGAAGACATTTTAGCTTTTTTTTTTTTCTAAAGCATTATTCAGTAGAAAATGTTCTTAAGGAAGTTTAAGGAGAAATTTGATGGCAGAACAAAAGTAATGTGAAGACACTTTGGATGGCCTGCTAACCATGTGACACAACTGACTGGGATGAGTTTGTAGCTAAAGGCACTCTCTTCTGTTCTGGCACATGTTCACAGTGGGTTGATTTATAACACACCTCTTTGGACTGCCCCTGAAATTTCCTACCAGCACTGAGCTGGCACAGTGTTGAGCAACATCCAAAACTGGAGGCTTTTTACTAAGTCTGATCAGTGAAGACAAGTGTCTTCATCTTAATGAGCAATGATTTGGCTTGAATTATATGTGCCATCTGAATTATACCTGGGCTGGAAGTCATCAGTACTGAGAAAACTTTAGCTAATGCAAAGTTCTTGATTTTGTCTTTGTCACCAGTAAGAACTACCCCAAGAAAAAGATCTCTTCCACTTCCATATTGTTCTCCATATGAAAATAAAACCATGTAAACAGTTATGCAATTCAATCTTGTTCTAGATGAAAATAGACACCCAGGACTTACCTCCTATCTCACAGCAGGATATAAAAGAACAAGAACTATGGAGAAAGGCCTGGACTACAACCTGGGGTTTTGGGAGGTGCTTCTATCTGTCCCTGCGTGACTCAGAGTCTGTTTTTCCGCCTTCAGAGTAAAGATAAAAACAACTACTTCCCTCTTTTTCAATCTCCTCAAGACTGTAATCTCACTGATTCAGGACCTGCCTCTGCATGTGCCTGAGAAGCACTCAGTCCATATATTACTGGTGTGTTACCAAATATTGTTACTCTAATACAAACATTAAATTAAAAAAACAGATCTATTTATTACACCACATTTTACCATTCATAGGAGATCTGGGAAAAGCAAAAAAGCTGCAGCGGTGCTAGTTCTCAAATTTCAGGCCCAATCACTAGTTAGATGGGCAGACCAGGCCAACTCACCTGTCCTACAGGATCCTTCCCAAGTCAAACATCACTTAAACCTTTGCTGAACTAGGTTTTCACACTTGATAAAATTAATTCTGCAATTCCAAGTGGAAAGACTAACGGGATCTCTAGGGAAAAATTCCTCTGGTTTTCCATTAGATACCTTCACCCTGACTGGTGACATCTAAGCAACTGACACTCCTCCTTGAATGCAAACCACCAGTGCCTGCAACATTTGTGACAAGAATACAGGAGAGAGATCCTACCTCAGTAATTGCAGTATTTCAAGGAAAATGGTTTGTTTGTATTACCTAAGCTACCGACTTTACGGATCCCATCACTAAAGCAAACAACTGAAAGATTAGAAGTTCAACTTCGTCTACTAGTTCACTCTTGAAAGTGGGGTGTGCTGTTTGTTCTGGGTCCTTTACTTGTCAGGAAATATCCAAGTCAAACAAATAAGGTAAACACTGTATTGTAATAATGGAAGAAGTTGGTTCGAAGCTTGTGTAGCTGCCCAACCTTTAAACAGAGTGACAAGTGGTAGGAAAGAAACAGAGTAAGATGATTCCTCTACATTCAATTCCTCTTTGTTGTCATGGATTATCAGTCACACTGACATATGGAGACCATTATGCAAGGCACAAAGGCAAGACACAAAGCAAAATGGCCAAACCCTTTTCTTGTCACTACCAAGGGTCACCAAGTGAAAGCATTACACTGCAATTTTTTCTTGTCTATACACACAAGAAATGCTATGTGCTATTTTTTCAAAAGAGAAAGTAACTGAAAGATTCAGTTATGTTTATGTTACTACAACAAAATCTGATCACACACTAACTAAAGTAAGTACTAAGCCTTCATACAATGCACTGCAAATATGGGCATTCCTTACTGCATTACAGCTGATGCCCATTAATTCATTATGAGTTAAAATTTAAATGGTTGTGTTAGGTCGATCATCAAACTTATGGATGTCTTCTTACTATACATGGCTCTCAAGTCTTTTGAAGTAAGCACTGCTTTGTAGTGGCTGGCTTATCAGACCACTTACAGAAGGCATTCCTGTACTACACAGGATTTAAAGGAGAAATAAAAAAGGGAGTCTCTGGAGTTAAATGGTAATTTGCCCTCTTTTTTTTTTTTTTCTTGTAATCACATTTCTTTGTTCCCTTAAGCTCTAGGTTTGTGCTGTCCATCTAATAGCACAAGAAATCTATATAGTGTCCTGGTATTCCTGTGATTTTCCCCCCCCACCCCGCAAGAACAGTTGATACTATTGGTGCAACACAGATGCAGGTGAAAGAAGTTTGGTATTCAAAAGCTTCAGTATTAGGTGGGAATTAATTCTGGATAAAAGCCTTACAATGCATCCTTCTGTCCAAAACAGAAAGGAAAGCAGACTAGTCTCTGCCAACTGCTGGATCATTTGCATTAGAATTCTCGACACCCCAGCATTATTAACATTCTTTTCATGTATTCAATTCCCTTCTATTTTGCAGATGCTCAGATAACAGATGCATTTGAAAACCTTCCCATTCAAAACCTTTATTCTGGTTCTCAGAAA